CTCCGTCTAGCACCTATCATCCCTATGCCCCGGCAATGTACTTCAAGTGCAACACGCAGAGGATCACAAATCCCAATGTGAGGAAGGAGGACGCTCTGAAAGTGATGGACCAGACAATCGCAGTGCACTGCTGATGTCTTAGGTTGTGCACATGTATGGCTTAGATCATATCTTCCTGTGCCCAATGTCAACAGCCAGAATATTACAACTACAGTATTAAGAGTACGTGGGCACCCGTCTTCGGAATTTCAGGAATGGCATTGACTTCATGCTGTATGTACACTGATAACTGCAGTATACGCATTGAAATAGCCGGTATCCGGGGTCCCAGTCACAGCACAGCCCTCGCTTAGCCAAATGAACTCGGCAAATGAGCTGCTCACTCTTGCTTTCCATAGGGAAGGCGAAGCGCAATGACCAGAGCACCTTGACGTGTAGCGCGCCTTGTTGCCTGACATGAATGGACTTTGCGTGGCTTTTCTCAGAGCCCGATGGGAACAAGGTGCAAGCGTCGGGTATGTATGTGCCGACTATTAGACGAACATGATTATATACTCGCAACGACCATGGGAGTATAAGATGACTGGCTCCGCGCACCCTGATTGTCTCTTGCAGCGAGGCGCAACGCTATCATATCGACTACTCTCGCCATGGCTAACGACGTGCTCGTACTGGCCGTTACATGCCCGGTTTTATGGGGCCTCTGGTACCTGTATGACCGATCCGTGACCAAGTCCGCGATCAAGGGCCTCCCTGGTCCTCCTTCGCAATCTTTCATCACAGGTAAGAGCATACTACCTACGACGTACCGGGCGATGACGATGACGGCACACCAGGCAACCTGAAACAAATCTTCTCATACGACGGAATGTCGTTCCACCACATGCTGCCGCTGAGATACGGGGGCGTAGTGCAGATCAATGCCCTCTTTGGGGTACGCCGCGCACTTCGTCTGCCCGACGCACTTTCCGTTCATCAGCGTTGACCGCGCGTCGGTTCCAGGATCAACAACTATACATCTCCGATCCCCGCGCGCTGCACCACATCCTCGTCAAGGACCAGTACGTCTTCGAGGAAACCTCCGGTTTCATCGCGTGCGTCGAACGGAACCTCCCTTTTTCGATCTTCCCCACTCATCCCGCGTTCTTCGCAGTTCCAATCGCGTAATTTTCGGCGCTGGGCTTCTTTCCAGTCTCGGTGCGCTGCCATCGTTTATTTCCAGGTACACATGCTGACGACAGTGTATAGGCGAGCAACACCGACAGTACGCGACGATCGATACGTCCAGAAATGAAATGGGATCGCTGACAAGTATGACAGGCAACGGAAGATGCTCAACCCCGTGTTCTCTCCGGGCCACATGCGCGCTCTCGTGCCCATCTTCTACGACCTCACGGAGCAGGTGACGCTCACTCCTGCATAACCCGCTTTTGCCCAGTCGTGGCTGACGGACGGGCGCGTGCCACCGCAGCTTCGCGATGTGCTCGCCAGGAAGGTCCAGTCCGGCGAGGAAGAGATCGACATGCTCAAGTGGATGTCCCGTGCCGCCCTCGAGTTCGTCGGCGTCGGTGGTCTCGGGTACTCCTTCCAAGCGCTTGACGAGAACGTGGAGAATGTGTACGGGACCGCAACCAAGCAACTCCTGTGCGTCTTTCCTACCTATTCATTCTTCCGCCAAAGCGCCCCTAACGTGCTGGTTGTTTCACCTTTCAGGCCGGCTCTATTCACGTTACTGCCGTTCCGACCGCTCTGGACGCTCGCCGACCAGACGCTCCCGCTCTGGCTGCGCCGCATCATCGTCAGACATCTCCCACTCAAGCGCGTGAAGAAGATCCGCGCGATCGTCGATATCATGCACAACAAGAGCCTGGAGGTGTACAACAAGAAGAAGGAGGCGCTCCTCGCCGGAGACGGTGCGATCGGGTCCCAGGTCGGCGACGGCAAGGACATCATGAGCACCCTGTGTGAGTGCACTGGACCTCGGCAAGCTCGGCCTGTTGTTTAATTCACTTTGTTTTCTTCGTACTGCGATAGTGCGAGCGAACATGGCGGCAGCGGAGAAGGACCGATTGTCGGAGGATGAACTCCTCGGACAAATGAACACGCTGATATTCGCTGCGCATGTGAGTGGGACGTTCCGTTCTGGCCTTTTCTTCTGCGAGGGTTGTTGCGGCTACCCAGCATGATTCTCACGCACCCGTTCCTCCCGTCTCTGTCGCAGGATACGACGAGCTCTGCGTTGTCGCGTATCCTGTATATGCTCTCGAACGACCAGGAGCGGCAGGAGAGGTTGCGCAAGGAGGTTACGGAGGCTCGCGCCGAGTACGGGAACCTCGACTATGACAAGTTGATGGGCTTGCGTAGGTTGTCCGGTTCGGCGTGGAGCCGTCTCGCTGATTATACGAATACGCAGCGTACCTTGATGCGATCTGCCGAGAAACTCTGCGATTGTGAGTTATCTCACCAAAACATTCTTTCAGGGGACTGCCATTGACCGACGTTCCACAGACACGCGCCCTCGACCGTCCAACAACGCACGTCAGTCCCGCCCTCTCTCATCCTCGCATTTACGAGCGAACCTGACGTGACTTGCACCACGACAGCGCACGGAAGGACATCTCCATCCCGCTCAGCTGGCCGGTGACGCTCACCAACGGGCAGACGATCAACGAGCTCCCCGTGCGCGACAACCAGACCGTGCTCGTGTCTATCGCGGGCACGAACCGGAGCCCGCTCATATGGGGCGAGGACGCGGCGGAGTGGCGCCCGGAGCGCTGGCTGGAGCCGCTCCCCGACAGCGTCGCGGCGGCGAAGGTGCCCGGCGTCTACTCCAATTTGTGAGCATAGCCATGAATTCGCGAGATCGCATTGGCTAACCGGTCCCGCGTATATTAGGTTAACCTTCATCGGCGGAGGCAGAGCGTGCATGTGAGTTGATTTTGACACGTAACCTCACAGCGATGTGCGTGCCTGACGCTCGATACCGCCCCAATTCTTTTTAGCGGATTCAAGTTCTCCGAGTTGGAGATGAGTACGTCTACATATCTAACCTTCGATCCTCCGGTTCCGCTCGATAACGCCGACTGACGTCTAACTCGACAGAGGTCATCCTGTCGGTTCTCGTCGAGAACTTTGTCTTCTCGCCCTCGAAGGACGAGATCGTTTGGAGGTTGAGCGCGGTTCAGATCCCGTGCGTCAAGGGCCGCGAGGGCGACCCACCGCACATGCCGATGAGGCTCGCGCTCGCGAAGCGGTCCTGAGCGCAGTGTCGCACTGCATGGTTCGAGGGTGTTGTTGGAGTTTTCGTTGGGTGGGATCGTCCGGTCGTTATGCTTTTGCTCTTGCGTTTCTCTGTGTACATACGCACCAGGGTTGCAGAGATTATTCCATCAAATAGCTTTGGCCTTCGCCAATAATAATCGTCCGGTCGTCATGTACCTATGCGCTCGCGTACCCCGCATATGAAGTTCGCCGCGGCGTGCGAAGCGCGCGGGTCCTGGGCCGCGAATCGCGAAGGCTACGATTATTTAGGCGTCGACCGCCGTTTTTTCTGACGGTGACGCTTGCCGGGGGGGTGCCGTTGTCATGGAGCCAGCCATGACGCCAGGACGTAAAGCGCATACATACCTGATCGAGTTTCGGTTTCACGTACTGACATAAATGCATTTCGGATGTGACGATCGCGCACAGGCGCCTCCGTCATATGTATTTGACAGTCAATTTGACTTCCACGACGACTACGGCGTTGGTGCACCAGATCGACGCCGTCATCCAGGCTCGCGGTGCGCTACTATTAGTACAGTCCATACGCGCTGTCAGTCAAGGCGCGACGAGCGGAACGGAAGACGATTGGGCGGGGGTGATTACGTACGCGTCTTCTTTCTGCCCTCTCTCGTCCAAGCGAGCGCGACCTGGGCCATGCACTTGATGCAAACTCCGCAATTGTTTTGAGTGGCTCTATGAACTCCGCGAAGCCTCCTTAACGGCCGCCTGGCCTCCGCTCGGGCTACGACATGCTTTGTCGCCAGCGTCGATGGGCTTGCAGTTCACCTCTCGACGTTGGAGGGTATGATACAGGCAGTTAAAGCACAATTTTTCTTGTGAGAAGATCTCTGGGGGTGCGGTCCATTATTGTTGCCACGAAGGCGCAGAAATCCCGGAGGTAAAAGCGCCAGGCACCTTATTAGGAAACTTTCTGCTTTCTGCGTTGGCGGCGCTTTGATCGAGGCGCTTTGTCAGCTCGCAAAAGCGCAAGTTCCGCCCTCTCCGTCCGTCCAAACGCGTTTCGAAAGCGCGCTGGTTCGTTCATACATCTGCAGGTGTGCGGGCGGGAGGATCTTGCCCCGAGTCAAACGTCGGACAACAGGCCGCTGTCCCGCGGTGAAGTTGTGCGTTCAATTACGCAGCGGCTCCCAAGCGCGAGCGCGATTTGATTGCCGAGAAGCCTGTGCCATGGCCTGGAGTCAAACCCATTTTCCAATTTCTCGACCAATTTATGCCGCGCCCGCGTCGATATAACGTCGCGGTCCGCCGCCGTCGGCTCGTATTCCTCTTCTTCCTCCCCGCTCCCGCTCCCCGTTCCCGCCCTCTCTCTGTTTCTCCCTTCTCCCTGTGAGAGGCTGACGCTCCCGCCGTCGTTATCAGCAGCGCCGCGATCTCGCTCCGGACGGGAACCAACGAACGGCGTCGACCTCCCCCCGTGCGAGGCATCACCGCGGCATCAGGCGGTCACCCAGGATTCTCGGGTCCTTCTATAGACGCGGTGCTTAAACGGTATCTGCGCTCCCTCCTCCCGCCTTTGCCTTTCTTCCGCCCTACCCATTCAACGCCCGTACGGCGGACGTCTGATATCTGTTTCTCTCTTCTTCGCTTTTCGTCCCGACTCGCGCTTGTAAACTCGTTCGTTTCGCAACCATGGGAGCCTGTCTATCGTCTGAGGGTCCACTCGTCTCCGAGGAGGACAAGCGGAAGCACCGGGAGGTCGAGCGCGAGCTCAAGGAGGTGCGCATCTCTCTCATCTTCTCCCGGACGACACTCCCGCTCATCGACGTGTGCATATATGCGTACCCAGGCGAAAGCGACGCTCGACAAGCAGATCAAAGTCCTCCTCCTCGGCTCGGGCGACTCGGGCAAATCCACGATCCTCAAGCAGATGCGCCTCATCCACCACGTCGACTTTTCGGCGCAGGAGGTCGAGCACTACCGCCAGCTCGTGTTCGGCAACCTCACGCACGGCATGCGCTACGTCCTCGACGCCATGGACGACTTCGGCCTCAAGCTCGCCCCGGAGAACGAGGGATACGTGGACCTGATCGACGCCGCGCCGGACGTGAAGGACGGCGAGCCGTTCCCGGCGGAGTACCGCGAGCCGCTACGCGCGCTTTGGCAGGACAAGAACGTGCGGGCCGCCGTTCTGCGGGGAAACGAGGCCGCGTTGCCGGAAAAGTCAGTATTTGCTTGCGTTCCCCGACAGCGAAGCCGCCGTTCTAACGACGACTACTTTCTTTTTCCTTCTCGCGCGTTTTCACAGTTTGACGTACTTCTACGAGCAGCTGGACGTGCTGTTCGCGCCGGACTATCGGCCGACGGAGCAGGACATCGTGCACACGCGCGCGCGGACGATCGGGATCACGGAGACGAAGATCACGTTCAACGATAAGGAGCTCCTCGTCGTCGACGTCGGTGGGCAGAAGAGCGAGCGGCGGAAGTGGATACACTGTTTCCAGGACGTGACGAGCATCTTGTTCCTCGCGAGCTTGAGCGGGTACGACCAGTGCCTCGTCGAGGACAAGGACGCGCACCAGATGCAGGACGCGATGACGATCTTCGACTCGATATGCACCTCGGCGTGGTTCAAGCAGACGTCGATCGTGCGTATCTCTCCCATCTCCCAATTCTTGTCTCAAACTGACGCGGATTTTTTTGTCGCGTAGATCCTCTTCTTGAACAAGCAGGATCTCTTCGAGCAGAAGATCCAGCACTCGAACATCAAAGATTTCTTCCCCGACTATGAGGGCGCCCCCGGCGACGCCCGCGCCGGGCGGGAATACTTCCGCTCCCGGTTCGTCAAGCTCGCCGCGAAAGCGGGGCGGGGCAAAGACCGCGAGATCTACGTCCAGTGCGTACCATCTCTGCCTGCTCTGCGTCACGAAATTTTCGTTCCTGATCCTATTGCTTTCCCTTCGATAGCTTCACGACGGCAACGGACACGACGCTGTTGCGGGCGGTGCTGGCCGCAGTCGAGGAGTGAGTCTTCTTCCTCCGTCCGGCGGTGTTTTTTTTTTTTTTTTCTTTCTTTTTCCTGCGTATATGCGGGAAGTTACCGGACCCTCCTTGCTCACTTCGGCGTTTCAGCATCATATTACGCAGCAATCTGACGAAGATGTTGCTCATCTGAGTTCCCCTCGGGCCGAAAACCTCGGTGAGTCGAAGTTCCGAGGTTTCCAAGTATAAACCCCGAACGTAATAGCTGACATGGAACGTCGGGCCAGGCAGACCTAGGGTGTACGAGTCTATGCATTGCGGTATTCTGGTTCCCCCCTTCTCTCCTCTCTATCCCTCGCTCTCCGTGCTGGCGCGCCGAGGCGCGCCGAGTCGGGGGTGGGCTGGGTTGGGGAGAGGCCCGTTGCTCTTTGCGGAGGCGGACCGGCGGTCGGTCGTCGGTCCTGGGAGTCATACTCCGGCAACGGCGGGATCGTCACTCGGTGTCCTGATGGATATCCGCGGTGTCTCGAGGTTTCCCCCGGGCGGGTGAGGGGGTGGTTGTCTTTCGTTCTTTACCATCCGATTGTTTGTGTTTTCGTCCGCCGTCTTTGTCTCTCTATTCACGCAAAGGGAAAGGGGAAAAAAAAGGAAAAGGAATGGAGGGAACCCCCGGTATATAGATCATACGCACAACCATACAACGCAAACTGCATAACGTCCATCCATCCATCGTCACCACACGTACTTTACAGCGTTCCTCATTTTTTTTTCCGCAATTAGTATATAGCTCATTACATACTCCGTTCCGTCGCGGGGCGGGTCGGTCGGTCGGTCGGTCGTGCTTTCTCTCTTTTTATAACATGCTATTTATTTGGATTCACCCATCCGTTCTCTGCGTATGCTCGGAACTTGGTGAGAATACGGTGCTTCGACAGGTAGGGTTACGGTTGTGTCATGACAAGATAGTTCTGTCGCAGATGATCTCCGCATGTTATACAAAGTTCGTAGAGATCACGTATACCATCTGAAGCGCCAACACATAGGGTGTAAGGCATAGATTTCTGATCAGAAGTTGAACTTGACCTCGAAGGAGCGCGCTCGAAGGTTGTGCGGTACATATGTAGCGCCACCAGATAGAGGTAGGTAGGTAGGTAGATGTCCAATAGCGGAACAACCGGTTGCCGCACCGATACCCTTTGGACAGCTTTTCGTCTCGTGTCGCCTCCGCCTACCAACTCCAAGCCTTCTAGCGATCTTTGTTCTGGACGCTGAATTGTTGATTCGGGTCGATGCTCGACAGGAGAGGCGCTTATCGCCGTATCCGATGCTCGAACGCGTATCTTCGTGCGACGAAATTGTCGCGAGTCGCAACACGCGGAGCAGCTCTCGGTAGCCCAGGGAAAAACCGTCGTATGGTCCTCGTCCACCTCCGGTCATAGTCTCGCTATAGCTTCGACGCCTCGCTCTTAGGCTTGTCCAAGATCTGTCCTCGCCACCAGGGCGAACAACGCGGGGAAGAACGACTCATAGGCATATATTTGACTGCGCCCCGCAACTTCATCGCCTCGTCCTTGGGCCCTGGTGCACCGGAAAAGATGCGCCTCGTGTCGAGCCGGTCAGAGATCTCTTCCGTCCTGCCATGCAAGATCGAAGCTCGCTTAGGCCTCAGCTCGGTCCATATGACTCAAAGCGCCTTTTGAGTCAAGCGCCCAGCAGCTTTTTACGCCATTCGGCCCCGACGTTCCCTTTATCATCGTGTCAGGGTACGCGTATAAAAACCTCATTCACACCGCACGTAGAATTCAACACCCCCCACCCCCCCAGCCTTCTTTCATGTCATCCTTCTTCCAGGCGGTCCTCAGCAGCACGACCGCCGGTGACGGCTGCAATGCCACCGCCCAGGGCACGAACGCCACTTCCCCGTCGTCCCCCGCCGCGCCGCAGGACCTCTCGGGGCTCCTTGCCGCTCTGATTCCCTTTGCCATCTTTGCTAAGCTCCCGGATTGGATAAAGCTGGCCATCATCGGGTCGATCATCGAGACGTGCCGACGCGCCACGTCGTGGATATGGTCGTACATCACCCAGAACTTCAACCTGACGGCCCATTTCGACTCGACCGATAGATCCTATGGTGAGCCACCCTCCCCCCTCTACATAGCCCAAAAGCGTCGCTGCTGACCCCACTCGTTCTCCCTTGTAGATTGGGTGCTGTTCTGGCTGTCCCAACAATCCTCGTTCGGAAAAGCGCGTGACGTCGAGATCACGACGCGTTCTTGGGGGTCGCGTCCCAACGGGTACATGGTCCCCGGAGAGGAGCCTGAGTTCAGCGAAAACGGCGTCCCCGCCCGAGAGCTCGCATATGTTCCCTCTCCTCACGTCACGTACACCTTGTGGTTCAGGGGCCGTTATATGCAAGTGACCCGCACGCGCTCCGAAAATCAGAGCTATTGGTCGTCCGACGTGCAAGAAACGCTCTGCGTCAGGTACGCACCCCATCTTATCCTCGACGCGTGACTTGCCCGCTAATGTCATGTCGCCCTTTTTGTTTTATTTTATTCTAGCATCATGACCCGCGACCGGCGGATCATGAACGAGCTCCTCATCGAGGCCAAAAAGGCGTACAACGCCGAGCAGAACACGAACGTGAACATCTACGTCTCCGACAACTTCAACGAGTACTGGCGGCACGTCGCCGCGCGGCCCAAACGCTCCCTCTCCTCCATCGTCCTGGACCCGGGCATCGCCGAGCGCGTCATCGCCGACGCGCGCGACTTCCTCGCCTCTCGCGCGTGGTACGCGAAGCGCGGGATCCCGTTCCGCAGGGGCTACCTCCTCTACGGCGCGCCGGGCTCGGGCAAAACGTCGCTCATCCATTCGCTCGCGGGCGAGCTCGCCGTGGACGTGTACGTGATCTCGCTCAGCCAGTCCGGTATGGACGACAACAAGCTCGCGCGGCTCATCGCCGAGCTGCCCGAGAAGTGCATCGCGCTCATGGAGGACATCGACGCCGCCTTCCACCACGGGCTCAACCGCGACGCTTCGGGCTCCTCGTCCGCCGAAGACTCGGCTACCGACCCGGCGGGCAAGCCTGCAGACTCCGCGCGGACGCAGAGCGCGCCACCGGCGGCGGCGAATCCGCCCCCCGTGGGGAGCAGGATCACGCTCAGCGGCCTGTTGAACGCGCTCGACGGCGTCGGCGCGCAGGAGGGCCGGATACTGTTCGCGACGACGAACAAGTACGCGAGCCTCGACCCGGCGCTGTGCCGCCCGGGCCGGATGGATATGCACGTCGAGTTCAAGCTCGCGAGCCGGTACCAGGCCGCGGAGCTGTTCAAGTGTTTCTTCATGCCGGACGAGGAGGAGGAGGTTGAGGAGAAGGAGGGGGAGGAGGTGTCGCCTAGCCGGCGGAGCGAGAAGAGCGAGGACTCGGGGTACGAGAGCGTGCAGAAGCCCGTGGAGGAGAAGGCGATTTCCCCTGCTCCGTCGTCTGCCACTGGTTCCATTCGCGGTATTCCGCATGCGGGGAGCCAGCCGACGCTGTCGAAAGCTCAGGTCCAGGCACTCGCGACGCGGTTTTCGGAGGCGCTCCCGGAACGACAGTTCTCCATGGCGGCGCTGCAGGGGTACCTCATGATGTACAAGATTCATCCCGTGGAGGCTGTCGAGGAATTCGCGAAGTGGGTGGAGCAGGAGATGAAGCAACGGGAGGAGAAGGCGAGGAGGAAGGTCCCGAAGGTCGAGGTTAAGGACATTGTCGCTGACCCTACGATCAAGAAGGAATCTACCCCGACGCCCCCAGCCGAGGCTACAGCGACTGCGACCCCGGCGCCTTCTGCTGCTGCACTGTGCAGTGCATGCAGTGCGGCAACGACATCCTCCACAATGTAGATTGAACCTGCCGAGTCGACTTCAGAAAAGGCGGCTTCCACCTTCACCACAAACGGTCGCCTGTCAGATGAGCACCGACAAGGTCTCTCCAGATGTATCTCGACCTGCCGGTCAGAGCGCATATCACGGACACGACGAGTCGCTCGTAGTAGTAGCATAGGTAACACTCCCAATGTAGCCATATCGTTCACGAATATCACCATAATAAACACGAGAACTACTGGGTAATGCCAAAAATGCGACATGCATGTACTTGGCTCGCATTTACACGGTTGCTGAGGTGGCGTAGGCTGCGGCACGACATGCCACCGGCAATCACATGTGCCGACCGCCGAGCATCCCCGGTTGTAGGCTTGTAGCGCTCGTCAAACTCATCCATCGCAGTGACCTGTCCGTTCATCCGCATTTGCTTCAGGGCTCCTCGTAACTTATACTCAGCTGAATGTCTACTTCACGAATCCTCCGCCGTCTAGTCAACGCTCGACGACCTCCAACTTTCGCCCGATCCCAGTCGACTTCGTCTTCCCAGAACCCGCCACCACGTCGTGTATCAAGCCTTTGGTCAAGATTCTCTGCTGCAACATTTCTATCACTTACGGCATACGGAATTGGCTCCCTTTATCCGCCTTCTCTCGCCACCTTCATCTCGCCGAGGACGGCGCCACCGCCTCTTCATCCGGAGCATCCTGCCGCGATCGCGCACACCGTTTCTCTGGAGGAGTCGCTTCAATCACTGCCGCCGCTGAAGGCAATGCGTGAGGCGCCAGACGCCGATCAGTGGTATGAGACGCGGCCCTATTTGAACTTCCCCGAGGAGAGGCGGGTGAACAACCTAACGGCGGGCGCGCTGCGAGGCCCCGGAAAGCTTGCTACGCCTCCCTTGGTCAGGGCGCGGAAGGATGAGAGCGAGGCGGTGATATTTCTGCACGTGGGGAGAGGGCTGTGTGGACACGATGGGATAGTTCATGGCGGGTTGCTAGCTACGCTTTTGGACGAATCGCTGGGTCGGATCGTACGTCGCCTCCATTCCGACTCCACTCCGATCCAATAGTTTCGATTTCTGACCTACCAAACATAGGCAATTGTGAACGTACCGGAGAAGGTTGCTGTGACGGCTAGACTCACCGTAGATTACAAGGCACCGACGAAGGCCGATCAGGTGGGCAACCCTGCCACGGTTGTATAACGCAGTCTCATATTGGTACTCTCATCTAGTTCATCGTGATTAAAGCGTCCGTAGTGGAGAAAAAGGGTCGGAAGGTCGTAACCCGAGGTGTAATAGAAGATCTTGAAGGCACAACCCTCGTCGAGGCTAGGTGAGACCTTACCTCAACCTTATTTATCCTTCTTGTGCTGCGTCGTCGCTATCGATTCATTCGCTGCTCAATTGTGCTTCTATGCTCATTCTTTCCCCATTGTTTCAGTGGCATCTTTATCCAACCGCGTTACGCGAAGCTCCTCAATCCCGCGCTTCTCAAGCAAGCTATGGGAGAACCCGACCAGCAGTCAAGGCTCGCGCCGCAACGTACAACTGGAAATGGCGCCTGATGTACGTCGTGATAACCCCCCCTCCCCCCCGAGGAACATCCTTCGGGCTAACTGGAGTGCTTCTCGCCGAATGCGCCTGCTTGATGTCCGCGGAACCTTGTCGTATGCCAGAGGGCACCACATACTATCTGCAATCCATCCGGATCTCGACGGTCCTCCAGATACGCGCCACCCTCAAGTTCAGAACAACGGGACGGCCCTATGGGGCTATTGCGGGGCGTTTGTGATGTCATAGAATTTGCTATCCGCACTGTGTTAATACTTAGACAGATGAGTCAGAGGCCGCGTCTACGTAACCCGACGATCAGATATCGACGTCTGCTCGTCACCATCTATGATTGCCCTCGTTGATCGCCTATTATAACGCTGGCTGCTTTTTTGGGACCTTGCTCAGGTAGCGATGGCTCTTCATCACGTTCGTCTTCCCCGCACGCCGCCACTTTCTGACAGGCGTTCGTCTTCCCCACACGCCGCCACTTTCTGACAGGCAGGTTGCATCCGAATCACATTGCTTGAGCTTGACTTGAGATGAACCGACGCTTCCGTTGAACATCAGTCTCCGGTGTCTTGCGCCCGAACGCTCTGGTTACACGTGTGAGTTCGATGAACCCATGAGAATCGGACACTCGAACTTGTCCTGCTCTTCTGGTCTGCCAAACCAATTTGATGTGGGTCCAGGTCACTGCTTGGGTCGTCAAAGGTCGACCGCTCAACATGAGGTCCAGGTACTGCGGGGTCGACGGTCGACAGCCGATCGAGAGTTGTTGGCACTGAGAAAATTTGTCGCTCCGGGCCGTCTCATGAGAATGGGTGTCAGGGGGATCCTGCGCTGTGAGTATTGGTCGAACGTTCCGACGTAATTGCTACGGACCATGTCGCCGTGCGATTCTCGCCGTAGTTGTTATGCCTCGCCAGGACATCGATGCACGTCAGCAGGGTTCCCAGGTTTCACTTGCGCAGTTTTCCAAGGCTACTTTCCTTGAATAACTTCTCCCATGATGCCATTTGGTCGCCTCAGCCCAATGGCCATCTCGGCAAGAAGCGTGTCTTCATTATGTCCAGCACAGAATCGAGATCATGAAGTGGGCAGCGGCGGCCCACGGTAATGAATATTGACAGAAAGCCGACTTCTCAAACTTCACCTACGATCTTAAGTACGATGTACTCGGAAAAGGTATTTTATCGACCATATAACAGTGAGGTAGGTGTATATACCCTGAAGGAGCGATGTGGGCCGGTTGAACCATCGTTACGCAAACGGTGCGCGGCACAAACGAGGGAGACGGATATGAGTAATGAACGCAGCTGCGAAAGCTCCTGATTCAGGGGGAATAGTGCGACCTTCCCTCATCCTTCCATCTCCTGGCTCAGACAGATTCGTGTGTGTGTGTCGTCAACTGCGCTCCATGTTCGAAGCACGAATGGATACGTACTGAATATGTCGAAGCTCTTGGTATCGGGGCAAGCATTCGAAGCATATTCGCGGGATCAACGGGCCCGGGACAAGCATGCGCCCTCCACGTTCTTGTTGTACGTGGTGGAACGTAGGCAGATAGATCGGGGATTAGCCTACATTGTCGATGTAGTTGAAGGTGCGACATGGCACCAGGGATGAGGTTTCAATGAAGAGGTCTAGCTCCATCGCGTAGCAGCCCCAACCGCGGCGGAGCCCTTCGGCGTTTGCGGCGACCACGAATCCCGGTATGTATCACCCAAAGCGATACATTGCGCGACAGATAATTTTAACCAAAGAACAGGAGGACAGAGCGGCGATGCTCCCCTGACATGCCGTAGGTGTAGAGCAGGAGGGATGGATGTACGATCTGTATCCAAGTCAGCCGGGTTAGATGAGCAGGCGATAAGGGGTGGCAAAGCGAGGCCCGCCCGGTGATCAGCAAATGGAAGACGAGGAGGAACCAACAAGAGGGAAACCCTCCATAGAATGCACCAATGGGAACGAGTACAGAGAATAGCCAATCGGAAGTGGATACGGAACATCCCCGTCAGTCCCAAGCGGCGTGTATGCAACGGCGATGCTTTGAGCACAGGCACTTGATAGGCCACTGGTAAGGACTGCCCCCGTGGTTTGTCGTGTAAGCGAGAGCCATCTCGAACTGACACACGTGTCCTTCGCCTACGGAAGTAGTCAGTACATCCTTGGAGGGATCATCAATGCGCAGGCATAGACTGTACTGGCCGAGAGACGAGAACAAGCGTGATAAGGTTTCCAGCTTGTAACCATTACATACGCGAGGGTCGTGTTATAAAAACACCATACACGTCGGATTACGGTTTCCGATGGTCGTGAGTAGGTTACTGGCGCAGATTAGCTTTCGTGAACGCTAAGGTGCCGTTACTCACGACTGAACGTGATCGAAATAGATCAGTTACCAGCGGTGAAGCGCGCACTAAGTATTAGAAAGAAGGAAGACGCCGATTTTCCGATCTCAACCACCTACCAGCAAGAGCGTGACCTATAAAACACCGTAGTCACTTCGGTGAGGACAAAACGCATCCATCCCAAAAACATAGGCCCGTATAAACCCACAGGAACAGTCGAGTCCGATCCGGAGATCCCGGAAATTCCGAAGGGAAGTGCCAGACTCGCCGCGTGGAAGCCAAAATCATCAGATTGACTGCACGACGCTTGAGTTGATCTCGATGGTAGAGTGATCTAAGGTCACATATTGACTACTATGTTTTCAATTCCAACGGCCGTGTGGAACATCAATTATAAGGTGTCAACGCAGATGACATCTGCGCAACAGTTCAAGTTTCTGTGTCATTGGGCTGATCGCACAAGCACGGGACTCATTATGAACACTTACAATACGTGTTTAGGATAGTTCATTTCACTGACGAAGAACGCGAACCTAGAGTGGAAGTACAATGAAATGAGGATGGGCTGGCGCTGGTAGATAAACAGTCTTGCTTCGTTGGTTCAAACACAATGTCCGCTCGCGAGTTCGCAAGTAAGGGAAATCCGCCATAATAACTAGTGTCTCCGAGAACAACACGTGTACGCCTAGATGGACATATGATGAGATGCCGGATGAGCGGGGCATACAACCAAAGGAAGGAGCCCACAGGTAAGCTTGGCGTCGCATTCCATCGTAGGGAGCTGGCTCGTCAAACCCATCTGTCGAATGTTCGTTCTCCCAGGGCCGCCGTAGTAGGATGAACGGATGTCCAGAACGCGGCCATTCCTCCCGCCGAAGGTGTTCATAATCATACTATTGAGACGCTTACTAGTCGCGTCCTCAAGTCGCGTCCCATGCGCGGAGTATTTGGTGCTCGCGAGAGAGTTGACAGGACTTCCCGCCTGAATCAGACACAATCTCAATCGGAAGTTGTCGGAGCGGATCAGGAGCGGCACTACTCATCCTTCTGTGCGTTCTATGAGACGGGGAATCCACAGATTCCCAGCCTAAATGGCATTCCTTTCGCTTCTCCTCAACGGATCGTGCGGTCGAGGGAGACCCTATTAGGCGTCGCGCTAAATGTGTGGCTAATAGGCCCGACGCCGAAAGCATGGGCGAAGTCCTGTCGTGATCAGTAAGCTTCTTCCGCATCGACTTAAGGAGCGGTCGGTGACAACACCTTCGTCCCTCGTCCCTATCCCTTGCCATCATACACTCTTGATATAACTGCGGGATATGCCAGGAAACGGTTCGAAGGCAAGCATTTGGCGTTGGACGCGCCCTCGACTGGACATCGCTACGTTGCTTGCGAGTGCGAAACGAACGCTGATCTACTGAGCTCACAGAGCAGCAGCAAAGCTCTGATGATAAGCATGAAACAACTTTCGGAACGTTCGACGTCTATTGCAATATCATCTATGCCATTGCTTATGCGAGTAGGGGATCACCACATAACCGTATCGATCGAGCTGAAAGAGTTGAGCTCACCATCCCCTGATAGAATAGTGCTGGGCCTCGTCGCCGCAGGTTCAACATCAGGATGCCATTACAGCGAGCGAAGGATTATGGTGCAACCCTTTTTGTTGCTCAAACGACCAAGCCGATTATAATGGCTTCAGGCACGCAAACCAATGCTCCATGACCTATTCAGAAAAGTGAGCACACAAGGTTCACGATTGTTTCGGCGGTGTTGCAGACAGCATTCTCACCTCTGCTCCATAGGAGCGAGCGTTCCTGTCGACGACCGTCTATTGTCATGTACGCGTATCGAGCCTTGACTGAGCAGCATTGGATGGAGACGAGCATTTGCGGTCGGAGACGGTTTGATGCTTGCCACCATCACCAACTCGTGCGCGGCGGAACTTCTGGACCGTTGTACTGCAGGTAGCCGACCGAGTTGTGGTGGCCGCAAGGATCGAACCGCCTTCGATCGTGTTCTCGTCATTTCGTGGACTTGATTACCTACCTATCCATCTTCGTTTTGCCACATCACGAGGCCATCTAAAATCGCGAAATGGAAGCAGATGATTGTGTTCCGGTATCTCCGGGAATATCGACACGATACTTAAAGCGTCCATGTGTAATGGCCGGCGCAGTACTGGACAAGATCCGACTTAACGGTAGGTAGGTACAGGAGTGACAAGTGGTCGCACGACCGGTGGATGCGACATCCAATCACGCTCGAGAGTATACACTGCCACAGCTTGATGCAGAACGGAGAATGGTTCAACATTCCGGGAACACCAGCAGCACCCTGCAACAATATCGCCACACATCTTCTGGCTGCTCATGATTTGGATATATATATATCTCACGATGGCAGTAAGTATGCACTGGTGAGTAACTTGCTCCGCATCTTGTATGTAAAACTGACATACTATGACCACGCAGCCAATCGGAACCATACTCGGCCTCGGCTGAGGGCGGGAAGTTCACGACTGCATCACACATACGAGCTGGTTATTTATGTCCTGTGACTCTACGACAAGTCGTCGGTGAAACAGCACCGGGCCCAATACCCAGTTAGTAGACAGTTCGTGCACATCCTAAGCTTGATCATCGAGTTCGCCGCTTTTACTCGCTGGATCCCGATACTGTTCTTATCGATTGTGTGTAGGGATTCCGGGTGCTCCACCCCATCGATCCTATGTATTCGGTTCTGCGACTGCGCCAGAGGCGCCACAACACGGGTGCGCGACTTTCCGGCGTGTCACGGCACTGCTACGCGTACCTGGCGTTCTGGCATCTGGCATCGAGACGCATTCAGATCAGACGCATTGGGTTTTGTATCCAGCTGCCGACGGCGAGCGCCACACTGGAACTTCTCCTCGTGATCGCTCTGCTAATGGTCAATCTACAAACCACAATCTAGAGCGCACATCAATGAAGGCTTGCGGAACCGCAACGGGTCGTCAGGTATCATTTCGCATCGTCAGGCCGTTTATGAAAGTGAGACACGACGGTTTTCTCGTGTAGCACTTCTTTGCTGAGTCTTTGACCAGGTGAGACCATCTAGCGGATTTGTCCACTAGAGGGCTCAGCCGCTAAATTCAGACCTGCGGAAGTCTCAAAGTACATCCATCAAACTCAGGTCTGGTGACGGCCGATACAGTGACCATCGATTTCCAGCAAATCCATCCGGGACAGTTCTCTTGGCCGCCGCCGATCTATCACTACACTGACCACTGGAGCGCTCGGTTATCTTGCCCAGGCCTGTGCCATCAATGCGGCGTTGTCATGCTCAGACTCGTCGCCGGTACGCAGAACCTGATTTTTTCTCGCTCTTTCGGAACACCTTGCGAATCCGTCTAGTCTCGGCTTCTTCGACGTATTTGTTCCCATGACATTGTGCACCTCAGTGGGTCTTCGCACTCGTCACGCCGGCTTTCGCAATAGAATCGAAGGCCTCTATCCGGAATTGACAACAAGCGCAACATGATGTATGTAGGCTCCTCGGGGCCCTCGGCTGCCGAGAAGCAAATAATGATTGGCATGCACAGTAGCACGGCTCCTCGACATATAAATACTGCAGTGCGTCCCCCCATCTTTCGTCCCCACTCTTCACTGTCCTGACGCCGGAAGTCGATAGGCTACCCAGCGCCCGCACTGCGAGCCGTCTCTACTCATGCCTGTGCAAGGGCATGTACTATTGTACTGCCTGCGTCTGCTGAGTTGTGGCGGCCGCAAGGATCGGCGCTGGAGATGTCCTAGGACCTTCGTGCAGACGGATTCCCGGCTTCCGGCGGCGCAGATATACTCATGTCGTTGTATGTCGTTGCATTCTCGACGATCCACTTGAATCGTTACTCAGTGAGTTCGGCGTACTGCTAGTCTACATGACGTTCTGCATTATTATGAGAGCATAGCGGTAATCCCGAGGTAGGCGGTAGATATGCTGCTGTACGGTAACCGATATTCGTAAGCTTCTAAGCACACGTATGTAACGTAACGTCGCTGAACTGAATCAGACTGGATACGTACAAAGCAGTGAAAGATAGCCTCAGCAAAGTCTTCCATACGAGCGCAACACCTGCGCACCACGGTTTTTTCTGATTATGGTCAGATGTGAGGTTAAAGCGCAATGAGCTTCGCGCTCTTGTCCCAATGCGGCGCTCTTCTGCAAGATTTAGTTCCGTGCCTCCGCGACCGAATCTCCTGACATATGATGTCATGCCATGCGCGGCACTAGCTCATCAGAACTCCGATAATCAGCCTGGCTTGCATGCCACTACGCCACAAATGCTGGTCCAGGCACTGATAGTGTAGTTCCACCCTCGAGATGATTGCCGAGGGATTACTCAGACCTCCGACAGCCTGCAATAATGCTCAAGGCGAGTCGGCGCCCAGAGCAGCTCTAGCTCAATCGCCAACGAGCTCCAAAACGAGTGACTTCTCGCCGCAGCGATAAGGTATATGAACATGCGGATTGCATTTCAGGCGCTACTTCCGCTCGAGCGGATGGAAAAGTCACCAGCCTCTGGCTTTGAAATCCTCGAGCGTGTCTTTCGTCGCGGTCTCGATACTACGGTACTCCAGCCCCAAGATACGGTTCGCCTTAGACACGTCGTACTTGATGAGGTGAACGACGTCCAGGCCCTTGCCTGCCCCTGGTTTGCCCTTTGGGAGCTTGTCGTAAATCGGCGGTGTGATCGAGTTAGCAGCGTCAACTGCGAAGATATGGAAGAGCGGTCAGTGCCGATCACATGGCGTCGTTAAAAAAATAGAAGGTACCCCAATCTTGCCACTTGAAGTGACCTGGTCGTGCAACACGTTGCGTTAGCCACTCAAGGGACGAGGTGCATATGCAGCGCAGTACGAACCTCCGGAAACGATGATTCGTTCCCCACCAGCCGCTTCCTTTTCGATCGCGAGCCTATGCGCTTCGGCCAGATCACGGACATCAATCCAGCAGCTACCCGAGGTGGCGAGAGTATTCTCGTCCTTCGTGCCTTTGACGACCGTGTCATACCAGTCCAGCATCGACGTGTTTAGCGAGGAAGGAGAGGATACGTCATGAATGACAGGCTGTGAAAGAAATAGGTCAGATCCGCGCGATAACTGCTGATCCGTCGCGGCACGATACGTACTCCAAAGACCTGGCGCGCCCTGAATCAGTCCCGAGCATGAGGCCACAGTGATTTGCCTGCGAGATACTCACATACGGTGGGTTGAGAACCACGAGGTCCCAGCCTACGGATGATTTGTTCTTGTTGTACAAATCCCAGGCGGCTACGCTCGGAGTTCCGGTTGGCATCACGCAATTGGGCATTTACGGACGAGGATGACAAACCTTTCTCTGCCAGGGTCTTCGACGCACGGTACTTTTGCATAGCAGCGGCATCCCGGCCTTTCTCCTCCACTTCCTTAGCAGCCTGTTCGTTCCAGTCCTTCTCGCTGTACGTAATAGGATTGGGATCTTGATGCAGGACAGCCGCGCAAGAGGACGTAACGACGATTCTCTTGACATCTTTGCTGTATGAATTTGTAGAGTATTATGTCAACGATGTCGGCGTGGCGTAGCGCAGAGGCCGTACCCGTGCTTCAGGACGCTCTCGATAACGGAGGTAGTGCCTTTGACGGCAGGGATGATGAAGTCCTTGATTAATGCGAGGATCGTGAGTAGAGGAATGGCGTGTCCAATTGCCTGCTTACTTCTGGATCCTCGAAATGAGTGTTGAACGGTGACGCAGTGTGCTCGACGGCGTCTACACCCTGGACAGCGGTGTCGAACGCGCCTTCCTGGGGACGAAATGCCGATCACGCTGGAATGCGTAGTAGGAGAGCCGTGACCGGCAGGACGCACCTTGGTGATATCGTCCACGATCACAAACTCGTACTTATCCGCGTACTTATCTTCGAAGAGCGTCTTCAGATACTCCGCCTTGGCTTCAGATCGGACGGTCCCGCGGACGAAGTAACCATGTTCGAGCAGATTTCGGACCACCCAAACGGCGATATAGCCGTTGGCGCCAGTGACTAGTACTTTGCTTCCGGGCTGGACGGCAGGCATATCGAGGTTCACTTGAGAGACGATTAGGATCTATCTCTCCTCGAGAACCAGTGCTGATAAAGCGACAGCACAAACAAACCTCACTCTATGGTTCTATGGCGTGCCATGCCGGCGGCTCATATTACACACTGTACGGAATCACAACCGGATCCTTGCCATTGTTCGCAAGCTCAAGGTCAGGGGAAAAGGGCGCGCGTTCCAACATACCCCTGGGAGGATATTAGTCGATATGTACTGTGAGACAGCCATTGGACGGTGGCGAACCAAGCAACCCATACCGAGGAACATTCTCATTTCCGGAGTGGGACGAGCGCGACATTGAGGAGAATTCTGTACCCAGGTTCATATTCTCAGTCAATGGCGCCGGGCTTCTTTGGAGTAAAAAGAGCAAGAAGCAAGCGGAAGAGGCCGACCCGCTACCGGTCCTTCGTCATCCACTCGACGTCCCCAGGGTGGGTACCAAGTGAATAAGGGATGAGTGGACAGAGTGGTGCGAGTGGAGGTTGGGCGCGGCGGACGGTGTTGGTCGCATGGGATGCGGCGAACTCTCGCTTTTGGTATAGTCGCTCAAAGCTGCGCAACCTGAGACCAGTGATGGCAGGAGGACTCAGACCAGCGGAGATGCACACACGCTCCCGTACCCCATCATGTCTCCGCCCTTCTCCTCGTCCTGAGGCTCTGACGCGCACCTGCTGGCACGAAGAGAACGATACCAATGAATATCGAACTTGAACCTTGCCTTGTATTCCGCTTCAGGAGGTTCACAAGGCCATCTGATGGTTTCGCGCGAAGAACGAGGAATGTTTGATATGGCATATGCTCTATTCGACAACTTGCATTCTGTACTGGACCAGCATGTTCGCCCATAGGCCGCAAAGCAGAGAACAAGGCGGTCATGAATCGAGACTGCCGGTAACTGCTGCCCGCGAGGTGGCTGTTGTTGCCAACAATAGGACGGCGATCATGATGAACATGAGGGTGGTGACTACCCGAGAGGGTTTGCGGTTACAACACACCTTTCCCTTCTTCCCTCTCGACGATCCCCTTCAAGATTCAATATTCAGCCATGGTACGCTCAATGCTTCCGACTTTGTCGCTCCTTGCCATCGCCACGACACGCAATGCCGTCTCCGCCGTACCACTCGAATCCCGCACACCATCCGGCAAACGTACGTGGCTCTGCTTACGTGTAGAAGGAAATCAACAAGTTCATGGACCTCGCAATAGCAATCATCGTTCAACTTTTCCAATGGAACTGGGATAGTATAGCCCAAGAATGCACGCAATACCTCGGCCCCGCAGGGTACGAGTGGGTTCAAATTTCCCCGCCATCCGAACATGTTACTGGCGACTCTTGGTGGACGGACTATCAAGGTGCGCGTGCCTACTGATCTTCGGCGTGTGCATGCAGTAACGCTGTCCCAGTGGTATCTTACACCCTCACCTCGAAGCGTGGTAACCGTGACCAATTTGCCAACATGGTTTCGACGTGCAAATCTGCTGGCGTCAACATCATCGCTGATGTGATCTGGAACCACATGGCCGGTACTGATAGCGGAAGTGGCGTCGCAGGCAATAGTACGTTGACGTCTCATCCGACGCGCGAAACAAGCTCACCCCCTCACCTCAGCCTTTACTCATTACGACTACCCGGGAACCTACTCCGGCTTCGACTTTCACTACTGCGGCACCACCGGTGACGCGATCCGTACGTTCTTCAACGCGCTTGTCATCGCAGCAGCCTAAATGTCAGCACAGTGGACTGGGGCAACAAAACTCAGCTTCAGACGTGTCAACTCGAGAATCTCGCTGACCTCAACACTGAGACGGAGTACGTGCGCTCTCGACTGGCCCAGTACGGCAACGATCTCTTGTCGCTCGGAGTCGCCGGCTTCAGACTCGACGCCGCTAAACGTGAGCTCGATGACCTCGGGCCAAACGGGTAGCTAACGACAGTACAGATGTCAATATCGACTCGCTCTCGAACATCGTATCGCGCCTCTCGAGCAAGCCTTACATCACCCAGGAAGCCCTCGGTAGCGGCCAACCCATCCCTCCCGAGAGCTACAACACTCTTGGTATGTGCCTTGTCGAACAAGGTCACCACTTTTGTTGAATGTGTTTCATAGGCGACGTCACCGTATCCGACTACTACGGTGATCTTCAGAAGGCCTTCACGTCGACCAACCTCGCTTCCCTTAACGGCATTGAGAAGAAGTGTTCGTTGCATCTTGGCTCCTCTGTATGCCCGACGCTCACGAGCAAATCGTAGTCGCTGTTGCGTCCAGCGGCGCTTCTGTCACTGTTGCTACCCACGATTCGGAGCATGGCTCGGGATCCTTGACGTACCAGAGCGCCAACAACTCCTACACCCTGGCTCACGTCTTCATGCTCGCGTACCCCTACGGCACACCCACAATCTTATCCAGCTACACCTTCGACAACACTGACGCCGGAGGACCCAACGGCAGTACGTCCGCGTGTCATCCTGCGGGGAATAAGTATTGATGATCCTCGACAGACTACGGAACCTGCTACGGCTCCGGAGGTGTCAACGGCTGGCTCTGCCAGCACCGCTGGACGCCCATCGCCGGCATGGCCGCCTTCCGCAACACCGTGGGCAGCGCGGCGGTGTCGAATTGGCAGCAAGGTTCCACCAACCAAATCGCATTTGGCCGAGGTTCGTAGCGTTTCCTGTTGATCCGCGGAGGTCCAGAGGGACAACAGAAATAACTGATACGGCGCACATCCGATTTTCTCAGGTTCTGCTGGCTTCGTAGCGATCAACAACGAGAGCGGCGCATGGTCGAAGACGTTCACGACCAGCCTGCCGGACGGAACATACTGCAACGTCATTGACGGCGCGATCTCGAGCGGTGCCTGCAGCGCTTCCACGTTCACCGTCGCCGGCGGCAAGTTTACCGCCACCGTGCGTGGCTATTGGGCCATCGCCCTGCACACCGGCGCGAAGCTCTAACGAGCTGGCGAGTGTGCTTATGGGATCGCCCGTTTCTTCTCTTCTCTTGCCCTGGGGGTATGACGGTCACCGTCGTTGCCATCGTCATCATTGGACAATATAGGGAATTCCAAACTATTTACGGTCGTTCCTTTATTTGGCCCATGGACTTTCTTACTATACAATGACTAATCAGACATTCTTTTTTTCTGCGATGCATTCACTGTATCCCAACATAGCGGATACCCGTGGTGGTGTGTGATACGCGGATGATTGAGCTCTCTGGATGACAGGAGCTTCTCAGTAGAATTGTGGTGTAACAATCACGCACTGAGTTGAATATGCGAACCACTGAAGCCTGAAGTTCCAAACCTATGGTTTCTACTTTCCCCGGAGTTGCATGATTGTGGTTCAGTCCGATTGTCGGGCAGCGCAGAGGAGTGATCATCAACGGAGAAATAGCTTCTGCACCCAGACACCTGTCAAAAGGCACTCGAAGGGTTGGTGATAACGTTGAGTCTAAGAACTTGCTGAGAACGTGCACAGTGAGACGGCTATGACCAACGAGTCGGGACCGAGAAATCACCATTGCCAATCACCGATCGGGCAGAATTGTCTGTCAGAAGTCAGGACAACAAGCTCGAAATACGATGTACGTACTACGTACGTACATCTTTGCCTCAGCGTGACAAGGTCTGCATTCCTCTAGATATCCTTCGTGGAGAACCTGATGAGTGGAAGTCCGGTTTTTGCTCATGCGTGCACACACGGTTAGCATCCAATTCAATAGAATCGTTTCCGCGTGCTCGGATCGGAGTTCAGGGCTGCGGACGCTGGCCCAAATCCCGGTCCGAGGACATTGTTCGCGGCAGTTTGGCGTTGCGGCGTGGATGCCAGGCCCGAGCTGTGGCGGCGCATTCAGTCTCCCTTGTCTCATTCCTTCGCTCGTTTTCCCTTGGAGCCCCGCAGTTGGCATGCGCAGCGGTGGGCTCGCCGCACAATATGCGACGGCCGACATTCTCGCAACGACGTGGCGGGCCTTGAAGATTCGGGCTTCGACCTTAGAGGGGCCCTGGAGCGAGGCGAGAACTTGATGCGCTGGTGAGACAGATGATCCTCTATGCCTGAAAGAGGTATGCGAAGCTGGCGAGAAGTAAGGAAGCCGCGAGGGTTAGATCACATTGGCAGAGCCGCGCTCCATTGGCGTTGATCGTACAGGAGGTAATTCACGCAAACCCGCATCCGACAACACATTGAAGAGCAGGAGGTATATGGTCTGAGGGCAGATTAAGTTCAATCCCTGATCATGGAGTGGCGATACTTGGCATAGCATATCGTCCAGACTCCGAATGCAATTGTTCAGAAGGGTGTGCAAGGTTGAGCGAGGCCCTGTCCCAAGAGCAGCCGAAGAGCCAGATAAGGGCTTAGCTAGCAGAGTGTGGCCTAGATCAAGCTGCTTCACAAGATTCACCATACTCTGCATAATCAAGATCGATATCCTGTCAACAACTGCGAGCAATGAGCTTAACAAAGGAGGTTCGCTTTGATTCGGCAGGGGGGAAACTCCGACAACTCCGACCAAATTGGGAATCTGTTCGTCTTGACTCTTGAATCCCACGCTCTACCACGCCGCCATCTCCTCCACTCCCTTCCCGTCCGGCCTCAAGATCAAGAAATGGTGAGCTGAATACTCCCGGTGGAGCCCTCGACGTCCTCGGAATGCTCTACTGCGTTATTCGTCTCAAAATCATGAAGAAATGAGATGGATGGTAAGGTGTCGAGTCGGATGACCTTTTCCGCTCATGTGCTGATCGGACTTGTAGACGTAGCCAGCGGTTGTTTTTTTAAACAACTTTATGCTGAGCCTCTATGGCAATGACGCTTCTGCTGGGTCTGCTCACTTCGGTGGGTAGGCGTTAGAGCTCCGAGGACGGCGACGGCGACGGTCATTCAATTGACGTCCTCGTTGCTAACACTCGTCTCAATGACCAGCCGCCCAAAGCCAAAGCCGGATCGGGAAAGAAGCCCGCCCCCGCTCCCGGTGGTGCCAGCAAGTCGACCAAGCAGGTCAAGAACCCGCTTTTCGAGTCGCGCCCCAAGAACTTCGGCATCGGCACGTCTTCGCTCTTCCGATGTTGGATTGTATCTAATCCATTCTGCAGGGCAGGACATCCAGCACAAGACTGACCTGACCCGCTTCGTGAAGTGGCCCGAATACGTCCGCCTCCAGCGCCAGAAGGTCATCCTCCACCAGCGCCTGAAGGTCCCCCCTTCCATCGCGCAGTTCTCGCACACTCTCGACAAGAACACCGCTACTCAGCTCTTCAAGCTGCTCAACAAGTACCGCCCGGAGACCAAGCAGGAGAAGAAGGCGCGCCTCGATGCCGCTGCTAAGGACGCCGCCGAGGGCAAGGAGCCGACCAAGGTATGACGTTCAACATGCGGCTTTCGGCCTTTTGCTCATGACTCGCGCAGGACAAGAAGCCGTTATTCGTCAAGTACGGCCTCAACCACACCGTCGCTCTCATTGAGGCCAAGAAGGCCAACCTCGTCGTCATCGCGCACGACGTTGACCCTATCGAGCTCGTTGTCTTCCTACCCGCCCTGTGCCGCAAGATGGGTGTCCCGTACGTCATCGTCAAGGGCAAGGCCCGTCTTGGCACAGTGGTCCACAAGAAGACCGCCGCTGTTCTCACCCTCCAAGACGTCAAGTCCGAGGACCAGAAGGAGCTGAGCACGCTGGTCAGCGCTGCGAAGGCCAACTTGTAAGTCATTCACTATCCCACAATCACGTCAGATATCAATTGCATCCTTCAGCACCGACAAGTACGAGGAACAGCGCCGTGTCTGGGGCGGAGGTCTCCGCGGCAACAAGTCGACGCAGAAGCTTCGCAAGCGCGCTAAGGCTGCTGGCCAGAACATCGCCGCTGCCAGCCTTGGCAAGCTCTAAAAATGCGGACGCCATCTCGGTATTCGTCGAGCGCCCTAGGAGCATGTCGGTACAGGTTCAATGTCCTCCAGGATGTTCTGTGGTAGAGGTGTATGCAACATATGCTTATGGTCGTACCCCATGTTCTGCGACATTACGCTGTCCGCCGCGAGGAGTTAACAGTGCTGGACGGTTGAATATATTTGTTCGAATAGTGTGGCGATATGGGCATTATTCGGGCTTCGCATGCATGCACCAGCGTTTACGTAAATGTTTCATGAGTAACTTAGGAGTGGATTGGTCACCAGGCTATCCTTATCGTGCACGTTCTCGGTGCTGTTGTGCACGATGTGATGGATGGCGATCATGAGATGCGCAGCGGTCGTCGTCCTCTTGACCACCGACGTCGCCCGTCTCGTTGGCGTGGCCTGTCTGGGAGATGCAAGCGCAGGCGATGGACTCCGACCGCGAGGTCCTGCATGTCTCGAAGGTCTATGCGAACGTGAACGCGTCGATGGGACCGACGTGGTACGAGTATGGTAGGGAACGGCGTCCTATGCGATATTGTCTCCAAAGTTGATCTGTATGTGACGTCTTAGAGAATGTGCAAGTTCTGTGGGGATCTACAGAGCGGTATGAACTGATACGGAAAGTAGGGCAAGGGAAATATTCAGAGGTTTAAGCGGAAATCTTCGCACTGTGAATGAGCGGGTTCTGATATCGGTATCGTCGTATAGGTGTTTCTCGGTCTAGACACGTCCAGCGACGAGAAGTGTATCATCAAGGTTCTCAAGCCAGTGAAGAAGAGGAAGATAAAGCGCGAGATCAAGGTGCTGCAGAACCTCAGCGGCGGGCCGAGCATCGTGCAGTTGCTGGACGTCGTGCGAGACCCGACGTCGAGGATCCCGAGTTTGGTAACGGAGTATGTGGACGCGGTGGACCACAAGGTGCTTTATCCCAGGTTGACGGATATGGATGTGCGGTTCTACATGTTCGAGCTATTGAAGGTATGGTTTTTCTCCACGTACCAGCGCGTGCTGTATGTAACTATGCTGAGAGTTTCTGCGCATAGGCACTCGAATTCTGTCATTCCAAGGGCATCATGCATCGGTAAGATCAAGCTACACTTCCCTCAATGACAAGGAGCCCGCTAATATTGGGTACAGTGACGTGAAGCCTCAGAACATCGTGATTGACCATGCCAAGCGTAAAGTCCGAGCCGTTTCATCGCATTCCTGGCATCTACATTAATTCGTATGGACCTGGGCATAGCTGCGTTTGATCGACTGGGGTCTCGCGGAGTTCTATCACCCTGGAGTGCGCCTGACGTGCCGGGTCGCCACGCGTAACTGGAAGAGCCCGGAGCTCCTCGTCGATTACGGGTACTACGACTACAGCCTCGACGTCTGGTGCTTTGGATGCGTCCTGGCAGGCATCGTGAGATCGTCGCAGATGCTAGTAATGCATTTTCACTAACCGACCCGGTGTTGGAATAGGTGTTCAGGAAGAACGTGTTCTTCCACGGACATGATAATTACGACCAGCTGGTTAAGATCGCCAAGGTTCTCGGAACGGATGACTTGTATGCGTTCTTGGACAAGTACGCATGCGACCGACTTTCCGCTCCCGTATTTGCTCATCGGGGTATCAGGTACAATATCGCGCTGGATCCTCACTTTGACGATATTCTCGAGAGGTCAGCATACATATTCCCTTTTCCGTACTGGTTCGCTCGACTGAACGTGGAACTCAAAGATGGCCGCGTAAGCCTTGGAGTCGCTTCGTGACACAGGACAACAGGAAATGCGTGTCAAACGAGCTGGTCGATTTCCTGGACAAGATCCTGCGATACGACCCCGCAGAACGCCTTACCGCGGGCGAGGCGCTTTGTCACCGATACTTTGGTCAGCACGGTTACTTGTGAATGGCGCTTCGGCAGCCGCTGATATCTGCCTAAATGGTTTTAGATCCTGTACGCAACCGGCGCCTTGATGATGATACGGAGGAATCTGGTCTCTCTTCTGCGTAGTGGTTTGTTGTTCCTTGATATACCTGTCGATATACCTAGAGGCTCCCTCAGGGGAGCCCGTCTTGCTGTGTGTAATGCTTTTCTGCGTATACCACTGTACCGATGACTGTTGTCGCCAGTTTGACTTTGCAATTGGCTCCCGGTGATTGAAGGGACCAAAGCTAAAGCTTGAATGTCAGTTCTAGATGGTCTTTTGATACTGTGAGAGCAACGTTCATGGAGAACTTGTTCAGTTCCTCTATGAATATGCAAAGATGACAATGTCCAGAAGCAAAGGCGACGAACGCCGAATAAGTCACAACGACCATGATAGCACGTGACTCGGCTATCAAACCTCGCGATAAAGAAGGCCAGGTAAAGCGCCTCGCGCCCTTTGGGGACAGCACGAGTCAAGGGTGTCGCGGTGACCTTTGACCTCAACCTCGTTGCACAAATCTTCATATCCATCTTGCTGGCATTCATGGAGGCTTGAACTGCTGAGGTCCCTCGGGTCCTCCCCTGTTCACGCCATTCTGCTCGACCGACCGACCGCGCAGGTTCTATCACCACAGTTCCTCGCAATTACCCCGCACCATTTGCCGACATATAACTCTTTCTGAGGACATGATATGGCGACCAACGCAGAGCTGCAGGAGCAAGAAATCGAAGTGCTCAAGTCGATCTTTACAGAAAACTTCATCGAGTGTCCACCACCCACCGTGTGGAAGGTGTGTGTTTGCCGGATCTTCGTGGGGAGGACGTGCTATTAATGCTAACGCACGTTTGTGCCGATAGGGTGCTACCAGCGTCAAAGAATTTATCATCCGAATCAATCATCCCGATCCGAAGCACCAGCGGAAGGTCAATTGCCAACTCCACGTTCGGTGCGTCTGCTTTCCACAATCGTCTACTTGGCGTGACTCTCATTTCTCACTATTTGTGCTGCTTAGACTACCTAAAACATACCCCCACAATGCATCACCCCAGTTTACCATACAACAGCCCCAGGGCCTTAGCTCTACCCAAGTTACCAAGCTCACCCACGTAATCAATACCGCCGTTCAGAAAAGCCGCGGTTCGGAGGCGGTCATCTTCGACGTACGTTGCTGAGCATGCTGTATCCTGTACCCTGATCTTCATATTCTCGGTCACCAGATATGTAATCTCGTAGAAGATTGGATCGTAAATAATGCCACGCCCATGCCCGATGCCCCTGACCTGGCTACTCAGATGAACAAGAGGGCGTCCGACGAGCAACGAGTATGTTCTAGCGAGTTCTGCTACAGCCCACGTGCGATCGAGTCATGCTGAACGAGTCACGCTTGACAGGCGAAGCGCGAGCGCGAGCAGGCCGAAGCCGAACGGGAGCTGGAGCGGAAAGCGATGAATGCGCTAGCGGTCAACGCCGAGCTGGAGGCGGAAAAGGCGGAGCGTCAGAAGCAGCAATCCCAACAAGAGCGTACCATGGCTCGCAGCAGGGCGTTCTCGGACGCAACCGCGGTGCCTTCAGAACCGGCGAGCGACACCCCTACCTTGGTCTTCGACGAGTACGTCGCCGTAGACGGCGTGAAGTTCAACTCAGTCAGACTCTTCCATCCACGCCAAGGTACGTCGCAGAGCTTCCGCGCCCCGAAATGTGCACGGAGACCCAGCCCTGAATATCTGAGTAGAAGGCCTCGGTACCACCTATTTCGCCGAACCGGTTTGCGACGAGGCTACCGCCAATGTCCTGCTCGAGGTGCATATTGTCAATTTCGAGTCCTCGTACTACAGCACGTCGCCCGGGCGAAAGAAGCTCCGGAATCTCGTCGATGAGATCAAGCGGCTCATCCGGTTCGAGCATCCGCATGTGCAACGCGTATATGCCTGTAAGCTTACGATGCCGAATGCTGCTATGGCTTCGAGACTCGCGGTTCTGAGCGAGAAGCGGCCCAATATGAGCTTGTTGGACGTTCTGGGAGACAACGACACCCTGAAAGAAGAGAAAGCAACCATGTACCTCAAGCAGATATTGAAAGGGTTACGCGCACTCCACGAAGCGGAACTGTTGCATCGCGGTAGGATATGGTTTTGATCGAACGTCATGATAAACGGGCTTACTCGTATGATGTTAGGCGTCAGCCTTGAATGTGTCTTCCTTGGTCAGCACGAACGTGCGACCGGTACACGCATCGTCAAACTCGGCAGAGCCGGGTGGCCGGTGCGCATCACGGACTTGCATCGCTCCAATCCGATCTCAGACGGTGTTCCGTTGCCTGCCGAGGAGTTGCCGCTTCCCGAAGGCTGGCTCTCCCAAGAACTCGTGGAGTCTCCACTAGAACATAAGAAGATCACGGACGTGTACTACACCGGCGTCCTGCTTCTGCAGATGCTCATGGGTCGAGAGGTCGTCACCAAGTACCCGACACCCTATGTTGCGCTCCAGTATTGTGCGTATTGACGACTTACCTTGCTTTGCTCTTGCCTGAACCTCGTATCATCCCAGCGGACATTTCTCAGCCGCTTCAGCGATTCATTACGAAAACGCTTGGAATGCCCTCCTACAGCAGAGCTCCGTGCGACACCCTTCTGTCTGAACTCGTTGAAGTCGGTATCCAGCGCTCCCTATCACCAGTCGTAACGACCTCGACTCCAACGGCCACGCCCCCGATGGCAATAGCTGGCGCCGGCCCGCGTACTCCTCAGCCTGCCATGTTTTCTGGGTCCCCGGTGCATGATTACTTCCCTGCCGCCGTGCAGCGTTATAGTCGGTACAAGAACGACTTCGAGGAGCTCGAAATCATCGTAGGTTTGAGTGCTTTTTGTGCGCGCATATCCTGATCTCTCTCCAGGGAAAGGGTGGTTTCGGGTCTGTTGTGAAGGTCCGGCATAGGGTCGATAACAAGATCTACGCAGTGAAGAAGATCAAGCTCCGGCCCGGACAGAGTACAGGCAAAATCAACCGGGAGGTCGAGGCCTTGAGCCAGCTCACGCACCCATACATCGTCCGCTACTATAACTCGTGGGTGGGCGAGCCCGAGCCGGAGCGATTTCCAAACCCGAACTCGGATGAGGAGTCCTACGGCGACGACACCACGGCGGACGGGATCACCTCCGTCCAGGCGTCCCGGTCGAACTCGAACCAGACCCCCTCCACTTTCGACAGCAGCGGGAGCGACTTCTTGAAGCCCAACCTCGACGATCTCACGTCGCGGACTGCGTCCGGGAGCAACTACACATTCCCCACGATACTATTCGCTCGGTCAAGCTCAGGCGGGAATAGTGCGAACGGATCTTCGGACGAGGAAGATGATGATGAGCCAGGCGAGGACGAGCTCAACCTTGGTATCGACGATGACTTGCTTGCGCCGAACGGCCCTGGAAACTCCTGGGCCCTGGCGCATCGTCGGCCTCAGCCCGAACCACCCCGGATGATGTTTATACATATGGAGTTCATCGAGCGGCAAACACTTCGCGAGGTCAGTGACGTGATTCGTTGTCTTGACTTTGTCGTTCATCGCGAATCCTTCGACAGCGTATCGAAGAAGGGCTCGACGAGAAGGAGTGCTGGAGGCTTTTCAACCAAATTGTAGAAGCACTCGTGCACATGTACAGCCATGGAATCGTGAGTCACCCGATGCGTATCATCATAGACATCGATATTCATCATCTTCGCAGGCTCATCGTGACATTAAGTGTGCCAACATTTTTATTGGTGTGTAACTTATCACACTGGTGGCTGTACCTGTGCTCACTATACGCTAAGATGCAAAGGGGGACTGCAAAGGTGTGTAGTTGTGAAGTCCTGCACAGAGCAGTCGCTGAGCATATCTCCGGCAGTCGGTGACTTCGGACTTGCGACAATGAGTTCGGTCGCTGCTGGTCCGTCGGGTTTGTCGGCCAAGGCAGCCGTTACGCAGAACGAGATGACACTCGAGGTTGGAACACGACTATACATCGCGCCCGAGGTGCTCTGCCCTTCAGGTGGTCGTCGAGATTGGACCAAGGTAGATATGTACAGCCTAGGGGTGCGTCAAGATTGAAGAACCAGAACATTGATTCTAACATGTTATCGCAGATCGTGTTTTTCGAGATGAACCACCCGTTCTCGACGCAAACCGAACGTGTCAAGGTGATCGAGAGCATAAGAAAGCCAGAGATAGAATTTCCGGACACCTGGGATGGCAAGAGGACCAGACAACATGATAGTCAGTCTTTTGTTGCTGTCAGAAGGTGAACGACCCTAACACTATCGGTAGTCATCAAGTGGCTATTGCAGCATAAGCCTTCTGACCGGCCGTCAGCTGTTGAGCTGACTCAAAGCTCACTGTATCCATCTTTCTTGGGAGATGAGCAAGTGAAGACTGCAATGAAGAAAATAGGTATGGAGTCTAAATTTCACGTCGCTCTAAAACCGACCTCACCCCGCTGCAGTCACCCCGGACTCGCCTCATCTCCAGGTCCTTCTGGCCGCGTTGTTCGACATGCCTGCGAAGCGTGCGCGGGGATACTTGTACGACTCCGACGTAGAGTTGCCTGAGCAGACGACGCTGGACGGGGTGGTCGAGGAGCGGCTCATCGACATCTTCAAACTCCACGGTGCCATACACGGAGAGCCCGCGCTGCTTCTGCCGCGCATGAACACCGAAGATGAATCGAAGCGCGCCGTTTTCTTAGACAAGCAAGGCGAAGCTGTATATTTACCCGATGATATGATCGTACCCTTCGCTCGATTGGCCGCGAGGGCAGGACACAAGCGAATTAAACGATATCATATCGGCGATGTGTTCAAGCCGGAGTAGGTTTTCACTTCGCCACACAGTTCCTATACATTATCTGATAACATGATTGTATGGTTCAGCACGCTGCCAGTCCATCCGAAGACTTCGAAAGCTGCCGTGTTCGATATAATCACACCGGATACAGTTCTTGGCCCTGCCGTCGCCATTGCGGAGGCAATCACGGTGGTCTACGAAACTCTTGAGAGCTTCCCGGGTCTTGCCACGAGTTACGATATCCACATATCGCACTCAATGAGTGAGTTCCAGGCTTGAACTTCCCCTTCACGCATTTACCATCTATACATCAGTCATCGATGCCACCCTGAACCGTGTACCCGCCAATCTGAGGGAATCAGTGGTTGAAATCCTCATGCAGCTGCGCTCCACCGCTCCACAGAAGCGCGCGTTGCTTCTGAAAAAGGGTTTGCCCCGAAGTACCGCCGATGAACTAGAGGTCATGTCCGAAGCAGGTCGGCAACCTCCGAGTGCTTGCTCTACTATGCGATCTAACGCGCCTTGCCAGACACGGACGTGGACTCCGTATTGGCCAAGCTTGGACGCATCTCGCCCACACTGACCAAGCTGATCACTCCCATGGCCGAGGATATTCGCTCCGTTTTATCCTATGTTGCGCTAGCCGGCGTGCCCGTGAACATATACTTCCGTCCCTTGATGCTTAGCGATCACCATAGGAAGACCTTCAGGAACGGCGTCTGCTTCGAGGTCATCAAACGCAACAAACGCACAGACGTCCTCGCCATCGGTGGACGGTCAGTTCAAACATCGTTCATCGCCTCGCACTCACCCGCTGATACGGCATACATATTTCAGATACGACACCCTCATATCCACCTTCACTCCGCCGAACCCGGACGCGCCGGCCACGTACGCATGCGCGGTCGAGATCTCGTTCGAGAAGATCACGGCCGCGCTGGCGATCTACCAGAACGCGACCGTGAAGAACCTGATCAGGGATCAGCGCTCCTTCGGGTTCTGGTCCCCGCGCCGGTGCGACGTGTACGTCGTGAGCTTCACGCCCGGGCATATGCAGGACAGGCTGGAGGTCGCGGCTTTGCTGTGGAGGCATAACATTAGCGCCGACGTCATGTACGAGTCCGGGGTCGCGGACGCGGAGAATCATGTAGCGCAGTGTTTGGAGGAGGGCATCTTGTGAGCATCACTTCGTTTCTTTCTTGCGCGTGAGATGTTGGCTCATATCTATTCCAGGTTCATCGTTTATCCTCGGGCTCGGATGGCCAATAAGCGAGACGTCCCGGCGTTCAAGGTGAAGAGTGTACTCAAGGGCACCGAGTATGACCGTGCGTCTTCACTTGCAAAGCTGGCCGTCAAACGTTTATTTGACGATGGTACTTACTCCGTTATAGTCTCGAAGCACGAACTCGTGGAATGGCTTCAAGAGCAAATCGCGGAACAGAAGCGCATCGACGCGACGACGTCCGGGGTGATGAAGAACTTCGATGCGCCAGCAAGTGGGGTCGCCAGCAAGGAGCCTACCGCCTCCAAGCCGGACGTGCAGCTGCTGCTCCCTATGGAGGTCAAGAAGCAGCGCAAGACGACGAAACATATGTTCACTGAGCGAGGTTCGTCTGCTTCTTTACTCCGCGTATGCCTGAGCTCACGAGAGTCCTTAGCTTTCGACGTCGCTACGGAAGTCAAGACCTCTATACAGAACGGCATCACGACTCTCGCCGTCGACGTGCCGAGCTCCGTGTTTGACATCATGACCCGCAACGCGGCCTGGCTTACGGACGAGGACGTCTGGCGATCCTTGCTGGCCGCTTTCCCGATACCTCAGCCTGGCTACGCCCAACAGGTTCGCCAGGCGGCGCTGAACCGCAAGGCGGACGGTCAGCGATATCTGCTGCTGGTATCGGTCAGAGACGAGCGAGTCGGGTTGCTGACTCTAGGATGATGCTACGATTTGCTACGACTCGAACCGAACGGACGAGATGCAGGCACGTTTTCACGATCAAGGGACTGTTCTACAACGGCACAAGTATATTCTACTGCTACACACACAGACTATTTATTTCAGTCATATCAGCCATATCATGTCGATACCCGTGTCGCCTTCACGCCGACGAGAATGTACGCATACAAACAGGGGCTTTTCGTTCACAATCCCAATGTTATTCTCAGATTCGTAAATGACGGCGACTTGTTTAACCTGATCTGCCACCCTATCACCCTTAACACTATCGTATTCATTGTCTCGCATGGAAGCCCGGGCGCTTGTAGAGCGCACTCAGGAGATGCCGCGGAGGCTCCCATGGGGAGCGGCGACAACGCCTCGAGTCTGACATGCGGCAGCGGAAGTCAGCACCATGCTGATGCCCTAGGCCGTCTCTCCTGCGCCGTCGGCGATTTTGTCTTTTGCCTCTGGATCTATCGCTCTTTCTTTGCTCCTCCACTCGCCCCGTCCTTCTCCAGATCTGTATCTCAGTCGTACAAACAACCCGGCAAGGTTTTCGGACCCGCGCCACTCAATCTGCGCGATAAACGAAACCGGACCCACTTGCAAGCAAGCCACTACATCTGGATTCTGGACACGGGTGATTGATGGCGGGGCGCTCGAGCGTGATCAAGTCGGTGTCGAAGGTGTATGCGGACGTGAATTCCAGGCTGGGCCCGTTATGGTACGAGTACGGTGTGTCTCTCGTCGCTCAGCCCGTCGGTCCGAGGCTGAGACCACGCGCTATCGCAGATAGCACGCAGGTGCAGTGGGGCACGCAGGACCGGTACGAAATCCTCAAGAAAGTCGGGCACGGGAAGTACTCCGAGGTGAGTCTAATCATCGTCACCTCTCCGTCTTCCTCTCTCACCAACGGGACATGCGTATGTGCCCTCGCGATAGGTGTTCCTCGGGATCGACGTCGTCGGTGACGAGAAATGCATCATCAAGGTGCTCAAGCCCGTGAAGCGGAAGAAGATCAAGCGCGAGATCAAGATCCTGCAGAACCTCGCCGGCGGGCCGAACATCGTCGAGCTGCTCGACGTCGTGCGCGACCCGGTGAGCAAGATACCGAGCCTCATCACCGAGTACGTGGACGCCGCGGACCCGAAGTGGTTGTACCCTCGGCTGTTGGACGCCGACGTGCGGTTTTACATATTAGAGATTCTGAAGGTGTGTTACGGTCATGATGCTGCGGCATGGTCCTTGCCTTGATGACCTCCTTTATAGGCGCTGGACTTTTGCCATTCTAAGGGCATCATGCATCGGGATATCAAACCACAAAACATCATGATTGACCACGAGAAACGCAAGGTATGTTCACCAACCCTTCCCCCCACCTTTCCCGTCTATATGCGTCTGCCAACTCCTACACGGACCACGTCACTTTCCTCATCATTGCGAGACTGACGATCGCGAGCCTATTAGCTCCGTCTCATTGACTGGGGACTCGCCGAATTCTACCACCCCGACATGAACTACAACTGCCGCGTCGCCTCGCGATTCTTCAAAGGGCCCGAGCTGCTCGTCAACTACGAGTACTACGACTACAGCCTCGACATGTGGAGTCTCGGCTGCACTTTTGCTTCCATCGTACGTCCCCTCTACCCCATCCGTCCTTCTCCCCCCACACTGACAAATACGGGCTTGATGCAGATATTCAGGAAGACGCCGTTCTTCCACGGCCACGATAACTATGACCAACTCGTCAAAATAGCGAAGGTGCTCGGGACAGATGATCTCTTCGCCTACCTCGACAAGTACGTAACGACCATCTTGCGCGTCTTCGTGCCCTCGTATACTCATGCATTCACCACGCCAGATACGACATCGCCCTGGACTCGCACTTTGACGATATACTTGGAACGTGCGTGCCCACCTTTCCTTTCAATGTGCAGCAACACTGATGATGGCCGTTGGCCCGATAGATATCCCCGCAAGCCGTGGACACGGTTCGTCACTACGGACAACCGGCGGTACATCTCGAATGAGGCGATCGACTTCCTCGACAAGCTGTTACGGTATGACCACCAGGACCGCTTGACCGCCGCGGAGGCACAGGCGCATCGCTACTTCGGTGAGCAGTCCATTTCGTTCGGGTCTGATCGCATGATTCTTAAAACTGCATTTCTTCGCGAGCAGACCCGGTACGGACACGGAGGCCGGATCTGGTGGAGACGGAAGAAAGCGGACTGTCGTCCGCATGAATGTCGTGTTCGAGCAGAAACTGATCTACCAAGGGTTGGTGAGGATTTGATGTGTAAGCGACCCCTTCCTGCTCAATCGTGTCACGGTTCAGGGACTCATATTGCATTCTTATTAGATGATACACTATTAATACAGCCGTTGCATTGGCTTCTCTATCTTCTGTCTTTGCCAGTCATGTGTGACGCTATGCTGCAATGGTATATTGCGAGGACTCCGAAGACTCTAGATCGTAGATCCTGCACCACGCATGTTGGCGACGCCGACGTTGGTCTCCATCGAGCCCTTCTGGTCGACGGCGGCATTGCGCATACCCGTGCCTGTCACAGGTGCGAGGTCAAGTCAAGGAACTCTGTGATGCGTTATTGAAGGACGCACCGTGCACGTCGCGGTCGCCGGTCGCCGAGTCGGCGGCATCGAGCGCGTTGCCGCGGATCTTTTCGCCTACGCCGTGGACGGTTTGGAAGGCGCCCCTGCACCACCGCCAAAGATCGTCAGCCACTGTTGACTTGAAAAGAGAGTCGCTCGCGAGTGCACTCACTTGACCTTCTGGCCGAGCCCGGCGCCGGCGGTAGCGCCCGTCGTGGCGGGGGCACCGGAGGTGTTGATGGCATTGGTGGTGTTGCCGGAGGGGGTGGTGTTCATCGTGGTGGTATTCATTGTCGTGGTCAGTGAAACGGTGGATGGGTGGTGTTGAGAGTTGAGAGTGTGTGTTGGCGGTTTTATGGAGGGCGCGTTGACGTCATAGGTCGCAGGCGTTGCATGACGTTGTAGGGGTGGAGTTGTGTTGGCCACTGGCACCGGCGCCTCAGTTGGCGATGCGCAGGCGGAGGCGGAATGTTACTGACCAAGGTAAAAAATAACTCAAAGGAGTGTTGAGGTCTGAGGCCTGTCAATCTGCGTTCTATTGTCTGAATACGACGACGAGGGGTGTCGGCGGGACTGTTGATGCCGGCTCAGCGGGCGGGGGTCATAGCTCGGCCCTTCGGACGGTGTATTTACGATACGATCTGCATGCGTCTCCAGGTCCAGCACAGTATCATGAATGGGAAATTTTCAGAATGCGAAGAAAGAGTGTATAGGGAATAGCAATCATATCATGCTATCGTGAGTCATGCAGAAATGTCCGGTAACGAGAGTGTGGTTCCCGCGTCGAGGGTTGGCAGCCGTCCAGGGAGCTGCGATCGGGAAGATGTCTCACCGAGGTAACGACGTTGCAGGATAAGTCGGATAACGGAAGGACACCTGTGGGCTTCCTCGTCCCCGCCATAATATCTCCATATCGGGACCATTCGTGCAAGATTGGTTTCAACAAGAACCCGCCTATAGAACGCATCTCCGAAAATGCGGAGGACCGTCGCTCGATCGGATCCTTTAGCCAGTTCCTCTTGGGGAAGTCGCAATAACACCCTGAGTCGGGCAAAAAAAATTCGCTTCCAGCGTCGTCTTTTGGCCGATGAGTCCTGCACTGAAGCAATCGACGTCTTTGAGACTGGGCAGTACGCGCTCCGTAACGTGCGAGGGGTAGCGCCCTGGGTCCTGGTATATCGCTAAAGCCCTCTTGGGAAACACGGTCAGGACCAAGCCCTCCTGTATCTTAGGGGTACAATTGGTGAGCACGATGTGCTGAAGGGCAGGGCAATGGACCAGGAATTCTGCGATGGCTGCTGGGAATGCGTGCATATTAAACAGTTCGAGGACCAGGAACGACCGGAGGAAACGGCACGATCTCTTGTAGTCCAATCTGAACAAGTCCGAGGAATCGTTGAGAACGGCAGCGCAATTTACGAAAGCGATATCGTTGAGGTCGCGAAGCGAGAGGGTGTGGAGCGTGGGGGCGTCGATACAAGCTAGTAGGTTTTGTGCAAGGGAAGTATCCCGGTAGGTAATCCGCAGGGTCGCGAGGGCTGGCAGCCGGGCCGGAGGGTAGAATGCTCCGGAATAATCGTAAGGCATGGAACAGTCGCTCAAGCAGAGGTGTTTGAGACCCGTGCACTGCGATAAGAAGGTCCACAATGAAGCTTCAGAGAAGCGCATGTCCTGCATGCAGAGGTGGTTGAGAGAAGAGAATGCTACCGAAGGATTCGGGGTGATGGCTGATGGCTGAGCCAGGTAGTGCAGCAGCGGCGACGAGTCTTGTCCCTCCGGAAGGATAACGTTCCAGCGGTCACAAAGTTCGAGCACCTCTAGGGAACTGAGGGCCATAAACGACAGAATCTGCTTCGCCGGATCGACAGAGGGGTACTTGATCGACAATTTCCGCAGGTGCGGGAGCGAGATTTGAAACTCGGGAACGTTGGCCGTCGGCGAGTCTAGATCGATGTACAAATACGTCGCGTTCATGACCCTGGAGGAGGTGGTGAGCTTTCGCGCGACGTCCTCCATCCCCTCTAGGCGAACACGTTTGGCATCGCCGTCAAGGCCGGGACAGCATGACATGTCTTTCTCGACAAGCCGCGACGGAGTCCACGCTCCAGAAATGTGTCGCATCCTTGACAAGAAAGATATCGAGTCAGTACAAGAGCAGAAAATGATAGAAAAATATCAACTCACGTCAGGTCACGGGCGAGGCGATGGTGAGGCGAGGAGCGGAGTATAAGGAGTTGGGTTGCCGCAAAGTCGACCATCGTTCATATACGCCGTCTTTGTCCTGAGTGGTGCGTATCCTCTGTGGCACACATGGTCTATGGCCGTGGCACTCTATGTGTCCGTCACGACAACGCACGACATACTCCGTCCACTGGACTTGGGACCACCATCGGCCTGATGAACGGGATAGCAGCGGAAGATAATATATTAAAGGCGGAAAAAATACCGGGATTCCTTCAAACGTGTCCTAGTAGCATATCGCCATCCACCTTCGTCACAAGATCTGGATGAATAGCGCCCCGCAATTGTGTCTACTATGTCCATCCTCCCCTGAAGATGGATGGAGGGAGAGCAACGAGCCCGTAACGGCACCTCCAGTGTTTTCTTGTAATCTCGCGGAAGACTTGTTCCGACAGAGTCGAGTGCAACAAGGCAAGGCCACAGAGTACACAGCAAGTGCGATTGCCACAAATGCCACGCGCTTGATAACGGTTCTCACGCCACCGCAAATCATGGTTTACTGGCAAATACATCGGCTTCTAGCACCGTCGCGAGTTACGTTGATCTTCACGGGATTGGGATCCGCATAAATGAATTCGTCCACCAAAAATGCGACCCGCCGTCCAACGCCCGCACTCAGTGCGTACCCTCCGCCTGCGCCGCCTGTACAAAAGCGACCGATTACGTCGCACTCTCATATGAAGGGAGGAAGGAGCCATACCGTACGCGTGCACTACCTTGGCACCATCGATAAGCTCGGACTCGACGCGCAGCCCAGTCTTTCGCCCGGGACGTATTCCAACGATATCGCGCACGATCTCCATCTGTGTCCAGTCGTCGGGAACGAGCGGGTTCAGCTGGTGGCAGCGCTTCGCGATGTCTGCCTTTTGCTCCGGCTTGACCTCGGGGCTCCTGTAGGCCCACAGGATTGAGGACACGTGTCAGAGAGATGGGATATGCGAACACAGAGCGCTTTCTTACGTGTCGCCGTTGTCTTTGATCCCGCCTAGAACAACCGTGCCATCGAGCCGAGGAATGACATAGCAGTAGTCGATACCACTTCTGAGAACCATGGTATCGATCTTGCCGGTTTTGTCGCGAATGAGCATAGTTTGCCCTCTGAGCACGAAGTGAGGTTATAAGTTAACATGACGGTCATAAGATGTTGGTTACATACCGGATGGGCTCGACATCCCCATCCATCACGCCGCCGAGCGTCTTCGCGCCAACGCCGGTCGCGTTCACGATCACGTCCGGCTCGGGGCCAAACGTCCCGCTCTGGACCTCCGCGATGGATGACACAGTGCCACGAACAAAACGCACGCCGCGGGCAACGAGTCGATCGTAGAGCCACTGGATGTATGCAGGTGGGGTCAAGACGATGGACGAATGTTCGATCGCAATCTTGGCGTTCGAGTCGGGCGGAAGCTCGGACGGGTCCATGATACGGTACTATGTGATGGGTGTGGTGAGTGGAGCGTCGGTACTTAAGGTGCACGAAACGTACGTCGGGAAGGTAGCCTTTCCACCAGAGGTCATCGTCGGTGCTGGTGTTGTCCCGGAAGAGTTGAGATCGTATCCTCTATGTGAGGTGGTCGGTGCTCTGGCCTTCAAACGCCGCATATATGCACTCACCCTGACCGTCGACTCCGGAAATCTGGCTGATATATCCCAGAACCACCTAAAGCTCGCCTTGTATATTTCCTTTTCGACCGGATCTTTCGTTCCGCCTGCACCGTAACCTGCCCCGGCCCTAGTCGCCGCCGCATGAGCATCCTTTGACGCGCGTACGAGTAATAAAAATTGTTCACCAAGGGCTGGCCCACTCCAGCGAATCCGGGTCTCCAGGCATGTCGCGCGCAACGATGGTGATGTCGTACGCGAGCGGAAGAGAGTGCGCGATGGAGAGGCCGAAGACGCCCGCGCCGACGATCGTTATCGCGGGCATTCTGAGAAGAGGTACGGAGGCAAAGGTGGAGGCTGATAACAGGCCATCGTGCAGCAGTACTTATACATGTGCCGGAGCTTTATCTGCGCAGAGGACCAGGGGACCAAGGGGCGGCGATCCGTGAGACTCACAGCCGGAGATGCCGACCAATGCCGAAGGCATGTAGAGTACTCAGGTGTTCGTGCATGCGTTTGCTTTTTGGTCGGCGTTATCATCACACGTACGGACAAAACCTCCTGTGCATCCACAGACACGAAAATGAACATAATGCCTTAATACACGAATACAGACGCAAACTGACAAAGCGCCGCAAACAAGGGGTCGAAACATGGAACGAGGATCATAGGCGCACTCCTCATCATTTCTTCGCGAACGAGAGCTTCATCGGCAGGTGCGCCGGTTCGTTCTCGCGTCCCTTGACAGATGGGATCTGCACAGCGCTCAGGCGCCACACAATCTCGTGCTTGGATGGTTGGAACACGAAGTTCTCGACGAGCACGGATAGGACGACCTCTAAAATATATATTGTATAATTAGGAGAGACGGTAGGAGCAAACATAGACTTACTCATTTCTAGCTCAGAGAATTTGAAGCCGCTTCAGTTGAGATGTATCAGTATCAGCCATAATGTTACATAGGGATGAACTCCATACATGCATGCTCTGCCTCCGCCAATGAACGTCAACCTACACACATTCTATCACCATCGTTACGGCCTCCTCAAAGACACAGACTTACAGGTTTGAATACACGCCGGGCACCTTTGCTGCTGCGACACTCTCCGGGAGTGGCTCAAGCCAGCGCTCGGGGCGCCACTCCGCCGCGTCCTTGCCCCAGATGAGGGGGCTCCGGTTCGTGCCCGCAATGGAGACGAGCACTGTCTGGTTGTTGCGCACAGGCAGCTCGGTGATGGTCTGGCCGTTGGTGAGGGTCACTGGCCAGCTCAGAGGTATGGATATGTCCTTTCTAGCGCTGTGATAACCTTAGATCGAAATGCTCACGAAGTCTCACTTGACTACTTACGTGCGCATTTGAACAGTGGAGGGCGCATGCCTGGGCACGTCCGTCAATCAGCTATTTTTCTATGGCACATCTTCCGGACTTACAGTCGCAGGGTCTCGCGACAGATTGCGTCAAGGAACGCTGGAACCATCATGAGCTGGCCGATACGATCGATAAAGAATAGACCTACGAAGTCCCATCAATTTATCATAGTCCAAGTTTCCGTGTTCTTCGCGCGCTTCCGTCACCTCCTTGCGCAACCTCCCTTGCCTTGCCTGGTCGTTCGATAGCATGTATAGGATACGAGACAATGCAGAGCTCGTCGTATGCTGTGGTATGGCGTGAGGAGAATCAAATACGTCAGTGGCGACCGACACTGACCTGTGCAGCAAACAGCAGGGTGTTCATCTGTGCGACAAGCTCTTCTTCCGAAAGACGATCTTTCTCAGACGCTTCCATGTTTGCGCACACTGCGACTACGCGTCAGCGACGCTACTCCCCATCCACGGTGAAGGCATGACTGACGCAGGACACTCATGATATCCTTCCCATCGCCGACCTGAGAGTTGATGGACCCATCACCTGCCACGATGGCCGCCTTTTTCTTCTCATACACCTCGAGGCTCTGGTTATGCATGACATCAACGATAGTGCGGATCTCCTTGACGCGTTTGAACGGGAGGTGCTTGACAAGGAAGCGCCGGAGCCCGAGCGGCAGCGTTTCGTCAGCGAGCGTCCAGAGCGGCCGGAACGGAATCAGCGTAAACAAGGCTGAGCTGCAGGGAATCAGTGGCCGTCAGACGGTCCTGGAATTCCATAGTGATGCAAAAGCCTACGGTAGCTTCTTGGCAGCGTTTGCGTAGACGTTATCGACGTTTTCATCCAGGGCTTGGAATGAGTAGCCGATACCTCCTACGCCCACGAATTCGAGGGCAGCTCTCGACATCCACTTCAGGATATCGATTTCTTCCTCCCCCGACTGGATTTTCCTGGCGAAGACGTCGCGAAGCTGCAGCAGAAGCGTCGGCAGATGAAGAGGGATCGAATATCAGGGTATACATTACCTGTTCAGTGACATCGTAAAAGATGGGCACGAGAGCGCGCATATGCTTGGGAGAGAACACTGGGTTCAGCATTTTTCGCTGCCTGTTGCATAAACGAAGTCAACCATCCGCCGTTCCGTACGGCCACTGTGACCAACTGTCGGTGTTGCTCCCCTGATGATGAGCTTCAGAATAAGAATAAATGCACTGACACGGCTCGAGAAGCTGCGTACCAATGCTAGAAAGCAGTCCAGCGCCGAATATGACCCGATTGGAGCTGCGGATACGGCATGAGCTGAAGCATCGAAACTGTCTCGGATCTACGTACACCAGGAAACCCGAACTCTCCTCAAACACATATTGATCCTTGACGAGAATGTGGTGCAGGGCACGAGGATCGGAGATGTACAGTTGCTGGTCCTGTAGAAGAGGCGATAAGAGTGAGGATGATGAGTTGAAATCATCGAAGGGTGAGGATATCTACCCCGAACAGAGCATTGATTTGTGCCACGCCCCCGTACTTCGAAGCTAACATATGGTGGAACGGTAACCCTTCGAACGAGAATAGCTGCTTCAAGTTGCCTAGAGTGTGTTATTCGCTATCGTGAAGGAGGAATCGGCCAATATTCTCACCTGTCATGAACGACTGCGCAGGAGGGCCGGGAAGGTATTTGATTGCAGACTTGGTCACGGACCTGCGGTACAGATACCACAGACCCCATAGAATCGGGCACGTCACAGTGAGAACAAGCATGTTATGGGCCATGACAGGCAGGTCGTCTCGCCGAAGTTGTGTGTGATGAGGAGGGTTACGAGGACGTGATCAAGCACACGCAGACGGTTATGTACCCTCATATAATGATCAGGACGGTGCTGGTATGCTCGTCAAACGCCGGCATGTTCACAGACGACCTGGTGACCGCATTGTCTTCCCATGAGGCATGGAGGAAGCGTATCGGCTGGAGCAACGTTTAGGAAAAAGACACGGTGCCGTGTCAACACATTCTTGACATAGATGATGGCGCTTCCCATTCAGGTAGAGAAGGAGCGCTGCCAAACGTGGAACATTCTGCCACGCTGAGCAAGCGAGCCCCGGCAACAACATGGCTCGGTACGGAGGTCGGGGGCAACCCAATGTAAGACCAGGCGTCTTTATCGAGTCATCCATGGGAAGAAGTGATGCTGGATTCGCTGAGATGACGCGCACCATTGAACAAACTGCGATGAGAGCCTCCGTATCGAGACATGTTACGGCAAGTCGGCAGGCCATCTCACTTCTCCCGAGATGCGCTCACAACGGAGCATTGTTCGGGGAGACACAAGGGGGTCCTGTCAGGGAGTCGATGAGGAGCCATGAGGTAGCAGAATCCGTAAGCTGTAGGCTCACCATTGTCCAGTAATGATGGGTTTGAATGAGGACCAGCTGGTCAAGCCAAACAACCGAACGTGAAAAGCCATCACGGATGCATTCCACACAGTGCACTTCGTTATCCGGTACCCCATGTGGGCTATGGCTACCGGGTATAACGGTAGATGTGGTGAGGCAACGTACAGCAGGTAGGTAGGTAGATTTACGTAATGCACGCCATCTCCCAGCCGCGCGCCCGGTCGTGAGACCTTATTAGCGCATGGCAATCGACTGATCCCAAACTGCATTCACTGGTACATCTACATATCTTAAGGTACAGGTTCACGGAGTTAATGCGTAGCATCCGGGCTTCGGGGCAGCAAGCCCACGCCTTTCCAATACTCCAGCCAGTGTCGAACGTCCTCTGTTCCAAGCGGCTGCAGCTTGCCCAAGCTCGGTGCAATTTCCTTCGCCCTGGACATATCCATCATCGGGAGCGCCATCGCTTCCCGACCACGATCCTTACCAGAATTTTGTCCAATCGTTCTCCCGGCCGACTTGAAGAACGCGAGTAGACGTAGTGCTGGATTCTCTCGCATAAGTTGCACTTCCGTTTTGGTTTTGTCTTTAAAATTCTCCTCTAGCGCGTCCAACCAGTCGGAATACGAGACCAACTCTACGTTGAGCTCCATGAATATTGACCGAAGGAGAGACGTCCAAGGGACAGGGTGAGGATGTGCCAAATGCAAGACAGGATATGCCTCCAGGTCCTGTGCCAGCGACATCTCGACCAGAGCACGGGCCGCAGCTGCCTGGGGTATCCAGGCCATGTCCTGGTCCATGGTACATCAGGTTGAGTAGTAACGGCATGGAAAAATATGCTCACCGCGTCTAGGTCAGGAAGTCGACGCAGGATTGGTCCGGACGCCACGAGCGAGGGGAACCATTCGGCCGTGTTCCAGGCAGCCTTGAAGCTGCTCAGACAAGTTCAGTTGACATATTTTGATAGATGAACTACGCTGCGGCCAATGTTGCTCTGGAGGGGCTTGTTGAGCCATATCCAAATGCACATCAGGAAAAATTGGACTATTGAAAGAGTCGCTTATTGGGTACCGAAACCCTCTAAAGCTACTAAATGAGCACGTTTTAGTACGTTTTAGGAGGTTTTTAGCAAATCCGGTTTTTCCTGATGCATTTGCCATGGTTCATAGGTTATATGATCATGCCCCGACGGCTTTCTGAGTTACACCTGCAGGTTGCTCCTATGATCACTGATAGTACCATTGCGGACCATCGTAATGCATCTCATCTCAAGCACCTTTCAGATTGGGGATTCACGGCGCGAGGTCGGTCTCGCACCCGAAGTTGCGATGATGATCGTCACTCACAAGGTTCATAGAACTCTGCAATTGTATTGAAGACGGCATTCGCAGACTCGCCGACGGGCCTTTCGGTCTGTACGTCCCCGACTTCCATTGGAATCGTGTGGCTGGCCGGCTCGGTATATCACCGGTGTTCGAGCACCTGCTTACGGCTGACGAGCCATCAGAGGGTGCAGACGTCAACGAGTTGACGCTCGATCATCTCGTGATGCACGAGTTGGACATATCGCCGGACGATTTTTCCCCGGCCGCTCCATTGTCCTCGTATGGACTTGATTCCCTATCTGCTGCAAGACTATCCGCCGCCCTGCGTCCCTGCTTGGAGATTACCCAAATGCAGCTCTTAGCAGACGTCTCCTTGAACGACATACGCACGAGGACGGAGGAGAAGAACTTGTCTAGCGCGAGCCCCGCGCAAGACATGACGCGCAAGAATTTGCGCCCACAGACCGGAGGTTTCGATTGGATGCGGGAATTGAAGGCACCGTTCACAGTGTTGTGCGAGTGAGCAACCGCGTATGATGCCGGCTTGCAGGTGCATTATGGTAGTAGGTTTCATGTTAGGCATCTCACAGACGTAGTACATATCGCGCTAAGATATACCTCCTTCAAACCACGCGACCTGCAACCAATCTGGTTTGAGTCGTCATTGTTTACTCGAGGATATTCAGGCAAGCTCACTTCGACTCTGCCCATCATTCGCAGTCACATCCGCCTTGATGCACCGCCTGACGTCGGGACCTCTCCACCCGGCCCAACGGTCATCCCCAACGCTTCTGTCGCGCGCTGGATACCCACGTCCCCGTTGCCCCCAGTCGTGCTTGTCTCGTACGTGTTCAGTGGCACTTTCCCTACACCTGCTCCATAGCCATAGCCGCTATCGCCGCCGTCGTGGTCATTCCCCGTTGTAGTTCCGCTTGCACCGCGAGTGCCGTCGTTAAATCCGGAAGGATGTGATCCCGTCGGTGCGGAAACGCCATCGTGGGTGCCTCCCGGACCGGTGGACGCCGTTCCGTGCCCGTGCAGGCGGGTCATGCCTCGCTGGATTTCCGTGGTACCGCGTTCGCTGGCGTAGACGTGCGACGGCTGGGCGGGGCGCGGATTCCCGAAACCGAGGTTGTCGACGAAGTCGAGGACGTTGCCGCGGAGGCTCTCTCCTGCGCCGTGCACGACCTCCCATGCCCCACTTCATAATCTCAGTCAAGCGGCCAACGCCAACCAGGAAAACGTGAGGCTCACCGGATCTTGGCACCCGCTCCGCCGCCGGTCGACGAGCCATGCGCTGTATCGTTCGTCGGATTTTTGTCCATGATTTACACTGTGTCCCGTGAAGGATGCAATCGATGAACACTCGACAGCTTCCGGTCGTGTAGGAGAGGCATGATGTCATCAAGTGCGGCGCGAGAGGATTGGAAAGCTTAAGCTTCAGCTCCCCCATAAGAATTCAATTGCCCAGATTCATCGAGGTTGCATAACGGGCTTTCAAAAGGGTGGTGGAGTGCCTCTTCCATGCGTTGTGGCGAACGGCCAGCATCAATAAAAAGCGATTAAATTCGCAAGTCGTGTGTATTGGTGCGTTTCGAGCCTGACTTTATCTAGGATTGCAGAGCCCACACTATGAGCGATGGGGGATATCGACCATTCACATGTGGTTAAACGAGGCCATGTGGAGGATTGCCTTCGATACATAAACCATATGTTTCAAACATGAAGGAGCCCAACCCTCTTCCAGTACTCAAGCCATTGGTCAACGTCCGCCAACGTGAGTGGTTGCATGTCCCTCAGAGAAGGAGAGACAGAAGTCGCGTTTTGCAGGTCCAACATAGGTATGCCTGCTGCCTCGTAACCCGCGTGTTTGTCCTGGACGTTGATCACGGCGGCCACGGACTGATAGAAGGGCAACAGCCGTAAAGCGGGATTTTCAAGCATGTGTTCAACCTCCGTTTTCGAAGTGTCCTTCAGATCGTTTTCGAGGGCGTCCAGCCATCGCTCATATGGAACCAGCGGGACGTTCAGGCGCTCGGACACATGCTTCATGACCATGGTCCAAGGTATCGGACGAGGATGGGCGAGATGCAAAACGCCGGGGGTTGTTTGAGCGTCGGCAAGCGTGAAGTCGAGCATGGCGTTCGCAGCTCCATCGAGCGATATCCAAGCGATGTCCTATGAGGCATACATCAGCAATAGTAAGTAGACGACGATGTGCCGTGTCCTCACCGACGGTATGTCCGGCAGGCATTTGATGACGGGTCCCGAGGCGATCAGAGACGGCAGCCATTCGGCGGCATTCCAGTCCCCGGCCTTTCCACCAGCCATCTGCCCTACGCGTACGACGATTGTTCGCAGGTCCGGTACGGCAGCCGATGCACGTTGCAGGATCCTTTCAGCGACCCATTTCGACTCTGTATAGCCACTGCCAATGGCCGAGTCCGGTTCCTCCAAGACGACCTCCTTGGCCGGTTCGTCGAGCCGAGCGCCTGCCGACAGATCAATCGTGAAAACTCACCCGCCCTCGCTGGTAGCGCACCTCTCAGGACACCGACGCTGCTGGTGAAAAGTATAGCCGGAGGTGCTGCTAGAGGTGACGAAAGGGCGAAGTTTATCAGATTACGAACGATAACAAGCTGCGGTTCGAAAGATGTCAATGAGACGTTGAAGTCGACGCGATATGCTGAATATGGCGCTGAATATCTATCTCCATGGGAGGAGGCATGTATTCATACCGTTGTGGATGATTCTCGTAACAGAGGTTCGCAGCTGTTCAGAATGAGTGAGCAGAAATCATCAACACAAGCTCGAGCACATACCTCCTCAAACATCTGCTCATCAAGGCCGAATGTGGGCAAAGTCATATCAACCTCCAGGAGAGACACTTTATCGGAGTCGACCAGCTCGACATTGAGGGCGCGATCGAGAAGAATGGCCTTCTGCCGCTCCTCGAGAGATCGGCCTTTCGTCGACCGCCGATTGAGCGCATATACCTTGCGCACGCTCGTGGATGAGAACAACGCGTCCAACAAGGCCGAGCCAAGTCCCCCGGTGGTACCGGTCAGGATAACTACATGCCCGTCGCGCGCGGTGCTTGGCAGGCCTTCCGACTTGCGTGCCGGGAAGTCTTTAGTATACTTCTCGACCAACGCTAGGAGCTGCTCCTTCTTCGAAGGATAGCTATCTGCTCCATCGCGCTTTGAAGACACGGCTTGACGGGCGAAATTCGCGAGCGCGGAAATGGTTGGGTTGGCATACACGAGATCGAAGGGTACAGCCTTATCGGATCCCACAACGGCATCACGTAGTGCACGAGATAAGGTGTTTCGTATCCAAGTTGCTTGAAGACTGCATGCATATGTCAGTAAGATAGGACGTAGTTGCTTCATATTACGACCCACCTGTCGCAACCGTGCTGAAAGAGGTCGTTCTCGTCCTGAACAGGCATAGTAAGAACACTGTTGACGACCTTTCTCACGAAATCCTTCGTCAAATCCAGCGTCCATTCTACAGGCGCCGGGATGTCGGCTTGCGTGGATTCCTCCACAGAGGCATACAGAGCTTCGATCTCTTCTTGATATTCCTGCAGAGTAACCTGGCGGCGAATGGTACCTTTGCTCGTGTATTGAAAGGGCTTGAAGGGTGAAGCAACCATGATCATCTATGAAAGGTTTGTTACGTCAAGAGCGAATCGTGCAAGAATCTAAGAACGTACCTCCTTGAACAACCGAGAATGCTGCGGCGCGTATGCGTTCATCCGTTCGACCGTCGGCCAGATGTCGTGACGAAACGCCACGAGTCTGACCTGATCCTCCGGGTGGAAAGCGTACTCTGGCGTTGGTTGTATAATGACTCCGTTCTGGAACCGACCTCGACCGAACATCAAAGCGGCTTGAATTCGATGGTCTTGGCATAGGATGGCCTCTAGAAGGGGATCAGGATTGCCATGAGCGCGTGCAGTGAGTGATCCGAGATTCGCACCTAGAGGGCCCGGATTGGTCTATAAGAGTGGATGTTAGAATAGTTCGTGATCGAATGTCTGAGCAACGATAACCTTCTCTCCCGTTGAGAGCATGATCTGGTCGTCGGTCCTTCCGTATACCGACCAGTACCCTTTCTTCGTCGGATGGGGGGTCAGAAGATCGCTTGTGGCATACGCGTCTATGCCCTCCCATTTACTGTTGAGCACGAGAGGTTTTTGCACACCATCGTTCTGAAAGCCGTTGTCAACGCGTCAGTCTCTGGGCTCGAGGAGATGATACTTACAACCACAACCAACTCGTAAGTCCCATCGCCGAATGGCAGGTATTCGGTATGCAGGGTGGGCACGAGTTGGAAATATTCCCAGTCCTTTCCAGGAGCATCTTTTCGCGTTCATCAGAGTTGCAGCTACCTCGCAAGTAGCCAACACCTACCAGGCAAAATCGGAACCATCAACCCCACTTCCGTTGAGCCGTAGAGATTATATACGGTCACGCCTTTGTTGACCATCCCGTCACCAACATGCTTATTCAATGGCCCTCCCCCATAAAGCTGGCAGAATGATTGAAATTATCAGTATAGATTAGCAGGGTCGAAGGATACACAAGCGCACTAACCACGCCCTTTAGCTTCGCCATATGGTCCACTTTGTACGGATCTCGAGCCCAAACCTCCAAATTAAATGAGCTTAGAGTGATAGACCATTTGGTAACGTTTGGCCAACCTCGATGAAATGCGGGGCAACCTGTATGTAATCGACCTGAGCTTCCATGATACCTTCCCAGGTGGTTTCCGGGGACACAGTCATTGCAGGTGACTGAGGCTTGAAAGCAGCGAGGGTCGCGCCACTGAATGCCTGCAGACCGCATCAGCCAGGATGCTCCGTGTTGGCGCGTATGCAACGTACCGTATACAGCACTGCGAAGACTCCAAGTCCATGAAACATCGGAATGGCGTGAAACGATACGAGCTGGCTACATAGGTCGACCTTTGACAAGACTGTCCGCTGAGGTGAGCCAAAGATCGATCGTACAGCGGAACAGGAACACATACGTATGCCGTTTGCGCTCGTAAGCCAGCTCTCGTGAGTCCATGCAAGGGGTTTCGGGAAAGCCGTCGAGCCTGGAGAGGTGCAAGGTGAGCATCGTCTCGCCCGAACGCGATCAGAATCATATGCGCACCAGATGAGTGAAGATAACAGACTTTGCCGGAGGCTGAAAACTTCCTCTTCGGCAACAACTGAACGGGCTGATCGTTGAAAAGGTCCGGGTACGCTGGCATCTCCGAGACGAAAGTGGACCAATCCTTCCCGATCTTCTCGAGGGCTTCGCGAGCGACGGACTGCAGGCCGGACTCCCCGGAAACGAGGAGGTGTTGCGCACCCACTTTTTCTAGAAGGTGAGCGATGGCGGGCGCAGAGTTACGGGTCGAGAGGTGGCACACGACGTAACCGGCCCTCACCAGGCCAAGCCACGAGTGGAAATACGTGACCGTGTCTAGAAGGAAAACATTGGGTGCGGGGCAAGGCCACGAGCGAGGCAAGCTACGAACCTGAAGCGGCGAATATCGCAATCACAGGGCCGTCGACGTCCGAAGGGTGGATTCGTAACTGAACGAGCCTGTCCGAGAGAAAACCTCCTGCGCGATGGATGGCATGAACACCCTGCTTGAAAGTGATCACGACCTTATCGGTGGCACTCGTGTTATATGTGAACAGCGGATGATCTGGACTATGTTCCGCGTGCCAGTCGTATATTTCGGGGATTGTAAGCGAGCCATCGAGCGGAGGAACCGAGAACGTCTTGGACGCCGAGCCATGGATCGGCTTGAGGTTGGGGAGCAAGGGCATGTTGTCAGGAGAGGCGCTCAGAACTGCGGAACGATGTGAGCGTTGTCGACTCGTTGACGCAAGTTTGACAATGACCTACCTATATATGCATCGTGCGTTAGCCTTGAATGCGGCGGGAAAGCTGGCGCGGTTCTTGGGACATTGCAAGATGTTTTCGGCGTCTGGAGGTAAGCGGAAACCCACGGTGATAGATGGGAGCTGAGTTTCTCGGGAGAAGAGAGATCATGGGTGCGTTGCCGGTGCGAAGAGATGCGTGCAAGGTTCAGATCATATTGATTAGGTGGGAACCGTGGTTCGGGAACATCATCCTCGGGTTCTGCGACATGATATTGACGACACAGACAGGCTTCTTATACCGCGGAGGAGCGCAACGGAGTTGGCACGAGGCCATCAGATCGGAACATAGCCTTAGGATGAGTTTGTGTCAGCGATGACAAGCGCATAAGTATCTCGACGACTCAACGAACACCGTGTCACAATAGCCATCTATAAAGCGCCCCGCGTCGTCTGGACTTCGCTCTAAGTTTGCACGCACGACTTCAAGCAGTTCACGTCGCGTCCTCGTACGAGTAAGGCATCCAAGGGCGCGCGGGACTTGACTGGGCGATAGGACACATTTGGCCTCGGATACTGCCGCAAAAAACCGTAGTGTATGACGTCGAGTGCATGCCGTGCACAACGCGGTAGCGCAGTCAGAGACGCTGAATGTAGAGCTTGGATGAAGTCCTGAGTTAGTTCAGCGGGCTCTCGAAAAGATGTTGAAGCCGTCATTCCAACACAGAATGATCATATGGAATTCCGGTGAGAACCCAGCCGTTCGTGTAGTAATTTCGCCAGTCCTCAAGCTTCAAGTTGCGCTCGAGCAAGTTTTCGGGGGGGAGACGACTGATGATTATCAGAGCAAGTGGTAGTAGGACGTGGGACTCACAGGGACCAAATCTTACATCTCAAAATCCAAGAAATATCCTGTAAACATTTGAAATTTATGTTTCAGATTAAAAATCTTTGATAAGATGTTAAAAAATCGCAGAAAATCGCAGAAAACTACGAATAAAATCAAGAGAATTATTATTTTGTCCATGATTTGTCACTTTCAAATATGTTATAAAGATTGCAAATTTTTATAGGATGTTTCTTGAATTTTTTGGAATCATGAGAAATCTAGATTTGTACCCAGTGACTTCAACGCTTCAGCCACGAGCTGCGGAGGGCGGCGCCGTACTTTGTCCCGGCCACCGTCGTCTCTCAACACCCAAACAAAAACAAGAATACCATCCAACCTTCAGTTCATGTCCTCGGCTACGTGAGTGAGATACATTATGTTCGGCTTGAGCTCATCTTATCTGTAATTCAGCATAAAATCCAGTGCCACGCAAGCTGGTCGCTCGCACGAACGTAGGCAGATCGACGACAAGATCACAGGCTTGCTCGTGGATGTACAATCTTTGCTTGAACAAATCCGCTCTTTACGGGAACGTCGTAATCAGCTTGTGCCCGTCTCGGAACTCCCTCCTGAAGTTATCGCCTTAATCTTTGGGCATTGCATGCCCAATTTCGAGCTAGAACTACCAGGTATCTCAAGCTTTGCATTCACGCAAGTCTGTCGTTCCTGGCGCGAGACGGCGCTGAAGAACCCTGCTCTTTGGACGGATGTGCCTTGTGCTATTCCGGAAGTGACCAGGACGTATATGGCGCGGTCGCAAGATTTGCCGTTGTCACTCTACGCTCGCCGATGGTCCGAAATGGACATAGGTGCCATTGCTCTGGAGGAGGCTCTCTGTTGTCTCCATCGAACGCAAGAGCTGCGGGTGCATTACATTCCTGGTTTAGGCCCGATGGCTCAGGAACTCTCACGACCCGCGCCTTTACTCATCTCGTGCTCAATTAAGATTACTCCGGATTGTACATGGAACTTGCCGCAAAATTTCCTCGGATGCATTGCCCCCCGTCTCCGTCATCTTTGTTTGAGTGGCGTGTCATTTGACTGGAGCTTGTTCCGATCTAACCCGATTCTTCACAATTTGGAACGACTCGAGCTACGCCAGTTGGATGCGTTGCCTTCAGCTAGGGATTTGGTCGCAGTCTTGAAACCCATAACGACGCTTCGTCTTCTTGCCATGGAATGTATAGGGGATAGAACGTATGGTCGGCCTTCGGTACTCGCGGAAGGGGATCGCCACGTCATCACTCTGAATCAGCTAACCACGTTGGAGTTGTGCGCGGACGAGCATCGGGTGTGCGAGATCTTACACCATCTCGGAATACCTTCTGCTTCCTCGATATCGATTCGTCTACTCGACTCGAGATGGGGTTACGATCTCACCCCGCTCATATCCTTGGTCGATGCGCATCTCGAGAACGGCCCAGGGTTGAGACGCTTGCTCTTCAATCACTACGGGTGCTACCTGTACTGCGAGTTGGTCGCATATTCGACTCGATACCCGGACAAGGCCGACGTTCCGATGTTGCGGATAACTGTACCGGATGGATGGCAATCCATCCTGCTACGGCTCATCGGGGATGTGCGTCAGAACGACCTTGAGCTGCAGGACGCCCGTACGGACGAGTCGATCGCAGAATCCTTCTTGCAGCGCTTCGGAACCACAGTCACAGAACTCCTCCTTCAGGGGGACCTGGCCTGCTCGGCCGTCATCCCCTTCCTCACTCCATCACCAGAGCGACCTACTCCACTCCCCAATCTGCAGCACGTCCGCATGTACCTGAAATGGGATTCGACGTCCCAGTATATGCTGGATGAACTGAAGCATCTATTGACCACCAGGAGCGGCGACGAGGGAACTAATGCACTTGCAGTCATTCTCGTCCCTGGAGAACGTTGCTCGCGTAGGAAATTGCACAGATTTTGTGAGTCTACTGGTTTCGCGGAGCGTCTTACAGTGGAAGAATCGGATGCGGAATCGGATGCACTGCAGGTCAGCGATTCCGAGGAGGGTTCTATAGGAGAAGAGACGGGAAGCAATCCTGATCTACTATGGGACAGTGATTCCGAGGGGCGTATCATAGAGCATGAGTCGAGACGAAGCCCATGGAACAGCGACTCCGATTGATCGGTTACGCGAAGGCGAGGCTTCTGGGACAGCGACTCCGATGTATCGGTCACGCGAAGGCGAGGGCTCTGCAGATTCTGTCTCAGACGAATTTCATAGAAGGACCACGGGCAAAAGCTACATAGAGGCTATGAAAATTCATACAACTGATTTTGGAGGAATGTATCGAGAGAGCGATGAACTGGTCACAACGACTGTTCAACTCCAGTGAAAGGGTGAAAAGTCAAGAATTTGCAATCATCTAGTTCGTCAGCGCTAATGTGATAACGGCCGACAGTCAGCTTAAGGATTACCAAATCACTAGATCTTCGATTATGCCATGGAGGGGAGCGACATTGTGGTGGTAGTGAGGACAGCGTTATTCCTGATCCATTAACATGGTCAAGTCACTGCGACGCAGGTAGCCAATTGCCGAAATTGGCGGATATGTGTTGATCTTTTATTGGCACTGTACGACAATGTGCTGGCAGTGAACACAGTTTCGGTGACATTCGCGACATACTGCGTGATTTTCAGCGATTACAATCACTGGCCAAAAATATCTCCCCCAAATCTGACAGGAACTACGCAGAAATGCCGCCCTTGAGCTCCAGAGCGCGTATCATCGAATCGAACGGATGGGTCTCGGCGCAAGCGTGAAACTATCTCCGAGCTCGGTGACAAGCACTTGGTCATATTGCCTTCGTGATTGTATTGATCAGGAGCGTCGGGAATGGCACTAGCTCTGACTCGGAGCCACGAACATGTCCCAAAAGACCGCGACCCAAGCGGACTAGCACAGACACGGCCGTAGTCTGGCGCAGTAGGCTGTATCTCAGCGAGCGCGCCGGCGTAACATATACCGTGTACTCCTATTTGCTGTCGATGCCGGGCGCCATGCAGGGTGGTATAGATCGTTAGGCCGCAGGGTTGAACGACTCTCGAAGGAGGATCCTTTCAAGTCTTATCGCTTTAAGTCGGGCTCATCAGCACAGGGCCACAGGCTTAGCAGCTCAGCACGCAGCGCTGCAAAGCAGAGGCACGACGGGATCGGCCGGAGAAATCGGTGCGCTGGCTGATTACCAATCACCGTATCCCACCTTGGCGCCGACCATACTTACTGTGGCGCCAAGCGTCGAGCGCACCACGTTCGGCGTACTACCCAGATGCATTGAACTTGTCATCGATCAAAAACGCAATTCGATAGGTCCCCCATGTTCCAGATCTGGCAACTCTCCCTCCAACAGACCTGCGGTAACCGATCCGGCGAGTGACACTGACCAAACCGAGCGTGTTCGGCTTTGTTACCTGTACCTTCTGAACCAAGCAGTAGATATATCTTCGCCCCCCAATCCCACTTCGGGTGGGACTTCCTTAACTGTAAGGATCTTCCACGATCATCGGTTTTATGTGACTCCCTCAAACCGCTTCGTCTGTGATGATGGCAGAAGTGCCAGGCATATGTACTCTTTCCACCCCGTGCTCGCATATGGAAGGCAGCCAGGGCCAACGTAAGTCACTGCAATGGTGCGCTCTCACTTTAACAAGCTCCCTAAGATCTGCCGCATCATCCTCCCTGTGCTATATCTTCGCTGAGACCTGTGCAGGGCATATCACTCATCCGCCATCCATGAGATGCGCATCACGTCTCGTGCGATCGGCGAATTCGTTGCGCTGCCGTTTCGAGCGCGCGAACCGCTGCAGTGAATCGGGCAAAGGAACTTTGGGCAGTACGTGAATTTGTTAATCCGTATTACTCCCCGGGCCAAAAGAAGTTGCGTCTTAGCATGCGAACCTATAGATGTACTCGCGAGACACATCAGAATTGCGCAGGGCTGATGCAGGGTGAGGTTACCGCATGTGTTCCTGTGGCCGATGAGATAGCGGCAAGAGGCGTTGTCTGAACGTAATTTGACCTGAGTGACGTGGTGCTAACGTACGCCCTAGATCCGTGACCATATTCCAACTGCTGGTCAGTGCTTGTGTAGAATGCACACGTCATGGCCGTAATCGAACAATCGCTTGCCCGTGATCGTCTCCCTACGATTTCCGGCCCATATCACCTCATTTCATGTCCTGGAGTTGACCGGTTCGTGATCAGTTGGCAGTTTATCGACCCCTGGTACTTTGATACTCCTCAGCAGCGGAGGCGCTAGCTAACCTTCTAATGCAGATCGCACCAATGATGTATTGCTTAATGATGATGTTAAGCTCGGACTTCATTCCAGATACTTAGTGAAGGGCGGCTACGAGCCCCAGGCCCCCAGCTAACCGGATCTGCTTCTCGCGGCACATGGATGGACGTCAGTGCGTGAGACGATGGCAGTTACTCGAAGACATTCTGCTTTTATCGACAATAGGGCGAACGCCGTATCAAGACAAAGCAGCGTTGGTGAACGCACTTTAATGTAAGAATTGCTATAAAATGATGCCGACCATTGACGACCAGCAAGGAGCTGCGATGATGTTTGAAGTATACATTGGGCTACACAGACACATTACCGCCATGAGGACCGATCGGATTGAGTTCCACGTAAGCACATACATCCAACCACTCTATCGGCGATCACAACCATGAATGCACCCAGATGCCACTATATGGGCGGCATGCGGAGGGGCAACGCGGGCACTTTATGCCTTTAGGATCAATGCTGCCGGACTCCGAGATGCGGCATTCGACCGCCGTTGACCTGATTTACGACGCATCAATGCTCCCATCCCGCGATGCGTGCGCGACTGTGACGCTACTTGCATGACAATGCTGCACATCATCGCCTCTATATGTATGCCTGATGTGCAGTTATGCATGTCCTTCAGTACGTTAATACAGTCAGCCTGTTGCCAGACTCCTTTGGAAGTCTCCTCCAGGCGCCGATCCGATGAGTATGGACGCTGACCATTCTATCACCGCCGGGGCCGCTCGGGTGGATGATGCGTCGAGTTTCTTCGATGTCTCCGCTGTCTACACAGAGCCCGTTCCGATGTCATTACGTTGCCCTCATCGATCTATACCCGTCAGGAACCGTCGTGCGGATGTTCCCCGAATCCCTCCACAGAGGTCAAGAAGTTACCGCATCTTCGGGGCGTGTCCGTCTTTTAGATGCCAATCCTCCTCATTGCGCTCAAATCGCCCATTCGAGAGCTTCCCATATGACCGGAATGAATTTGACCACCGGAGGCGGATTGGTGGGGAGTTGTATATAAGGGACGCTTACATTGCATGAAGAACCAGCACGCGCCAATAAGCGGCCCTCTTTCTGCCCATGCAGCTTCTCTCCATTGCTTTCACCGTCTTAGCTGTCCTGCTCGGGCTTACGAGTTCTGCCATCGGCGGCGGCGAGTGCAAGCATCCATCTGTCCGAAGGGAATGGAGGTCACTCTCGAATGAAGAACGCGCAGAATGGATCAGAGCCGTTAAGGTTCGCTTCACGCTGGTCATGCATTGCTATCGCTGACCCTAGTAATGCAGTGCTTGGCAAAATGGCCTCATGACGAGAGATTAGCGCCGAGCGTTGATCCTAGTATATCGCTCATTCCACCAATCAACAGGTCGTCATCGTATAATGACGGTGGGCTACGAGAAAGCTCCGAGGGGACCATTGATTCACTGGCACTCTCGATAGATATTTCATACATGCATATGGACTTGAACACCAAGGTCGGTCCAAAACAATCCTTGGCCTAAACTTGCATAATTGACTGACTCGACTCCGAAGATCCACTGGACTGGCTTGTTTTTGCCGTGGCATAGATGGTGAGCGGGCACCAATTCTGTATCCCGAAGCATTAAACGCAGCTCGGCAGGTATGTGCACGTACACGAACAAGCAATGAAGGAGAAGTGCGGCTTCACCGGCACGCAGCCCTATTGGGACTGGTCGAAAGGTGATTATTGGCGTAAATATAGACTCCGTCGCTCATTTCTACTCTTTATTCGTCGCAGACTCGGCTGCTCCGGACCAATCGCCGCTCTTCCTAGATGGTAACCCCCACACGGGCTTCGGCAGCGTTCATGGCGACCCGAACCACGATCATACCGTCGTCAACGGCGCATTCACCGACTTGATGTTCGCCTATCCTGCACCCCACAGGCTGAGACGCGTGTACAACCGGACTCCCTGGGATATTTACAACGCGAGCTCCTTCACTCCAAATCCAGAAAAGTTCGCCGGCGATTCCATAAATCCGTCAGAGGTCCACAAGTTGATAACCGAATTCGACGGAAATTATACCGGTTTCCAGGCGTATTTTGAGGGTTTCCAGGTAAGCCCGCACAACCCGCGGAAATTCAGTTGATGATCTAATCGAATTTGTAGGGAGCACACAGTGCCATACACCTCATGATGGGAGGGTGCGCGGACACTAGTGATGGTAGTAAAGGGCTTCGCGCCGACTGATATGCTATATAGGGACATGGGTGGTGAAGATTGCCCAGCAAGTGCCCCGAATTGCGTCACTGGTCCTAAATGGACAGCGAATGGTAAGCAGCAATTTGTCATATTCTAACTTGCCCGTTACCCCGATTCGTTCGCAGAACCCATGTTCTGGATGCATCACGGCGTAAGCATTCGATAATCTCCCCTGCAGATAGTAGATGATGCTCACAGACGCGATCGTGCACCAGATGGTCGACAAGGTACGCTACGAATCAGCAATAGTTACCCTGCGCGCCTCATACCAACGTTCGACCAATGTCCAGATTTGGTCCGAGTGGCAGCATCATAAGGCCTCAAACTTCTGGTTGTATGCCGGCGGATCCGTAGAGGAAATCGACACACCCGCCCATTACGACAAATATCCAACCGGGGGGCCCCCTTTCCTTTCGGTAAATGAATGAATTAGCATTGTGCTCCTGTGTCATGACTTATACTACCACTCAGCTGGATTCCATGTTGCCAGCTGACGGGCTCTTTCCCGAGGTCCCTATCCGCACTGTTATGGACACTACGGGCGGTTACTTATGCTACGTATATGAATGAGAATATTTTGACCGTTTCCTGTTCGGCTTGAGATATGGACTCATTGTAAAGAAATAATTATATTGAGAATATTTACATCGTCCGAACGCTGCCTGAATAGATCCTCGTTAACCATATTCATCCATGTATGTACGCCGAAGCTTGTACAGTATTATTCTTATTGTGGCTCCTTGCTAACAACTTCTGACGTATCACAAGTCAAAACCTCGACTCACTTACCAAGTATTGGAAGCTTCTTTTGCAATCAGAGTAAGTACGTTCTGAGTGGATTGCCATACAGTGTTATTTACGACAACAGGCATTGCGTAGAACAAAGCGAGACAAAACGTGGTTCAATTGCAGATAGCGTTATGCGAGCACAAGCAGGTGTACTTCGGAGATAACAAGAAATAAAGCACTATCTCGCGTCAACGCGAGAAGGACAGCGTAGAAACAAGCAGACATTGGGATTCGTAACATCGTGACTTGGCACCTCACAAAAATGCAAGGATGCATGGCACGTAGCAAGTCGTAAGCAGCGGAAAGCGTCGTAGCAGAAAATCATTGAAGAATAAACGTGACTTCGTGCGGGCGTGTTGGGAGTCGATACGATATCGAGAATTGAGGGGTGCGTGCATAGGTAATGAGCATAGAGCAGTCATATGTGTTGCATCCAGGTTGACGTCGCCAATGTCCTTCGTGTATAGAATGCAGGCGTTCAGATGCGGATTGTTTGCGGCTGTGCAGTTCGCGCTGGCGTGGGTCTACCACGAGGGCGAGGGCGGTTGATCCGCAACGAGCCTGGTGCGCTGCAGTAAAGGATATGTCAGCACATCAGGCATGAGATTCGAGTGGAACTGCGCGTACTTCATGACGACGCTCTGCTGAGAGAGGTCATTTTCCTTCTGGTCGTTCTTACCCGTACTCCGTTTGGACCAGCCCAGAGCCGTACGACGGGCCGCGGAGTTGACGCGAGGTCGTGACTGAGGCAGGCCGTCCTGTGAGACATTCTCGGATTGAACTGGGTCGACGTCGATGTAGGCAGCAAAGGCCTTGGTGGCCTTGGCGGCAGCGTTGAGCTTAAGCGCTGATCTCGGAGATGCCGTGTTCTCGTTGCGTGGAACCTGCCGAAGGACGGTCGATTTGTTCGCGGAGGCTAACAGCCGTGTGACGTCCACCATGCCTGGCGATACCGATATCTGGTCGGACGGGCTAGATCGCTGGATGCCGGTGCTGGGGTACGGAGAGGGCCGGGAATTTTTGCGAGACCGCGCGCGCTGGAGACGTAACTCGTGAGGTAGGGGTCCGTACGCCTGCTGGGAGTGATGTAGTAGCGCCTTCATGCCCTCAGGCTCCGATGGAGGGTCAAAAGCTGGGAAAGCATCGATAAGAGCGTGTGGGGAGAGTGGCCGCCAGAACTTACTTTGCACGGCAAACACGGAGAACGGCGTATCCGACCAGACTCGCTTGCTCTCTTCGAGTGTCTCGTGCGCTTCGTTCCTGAGCGCGTAGTAGCGACGAAGCACCGTGTAGTCCTGCTCGTCGAATTCCGCGGAATCGCGGAAGCTGCTATCTACGATGATGACAGAATCCTCGAGCCTTGAGATAGCAGGGGACGGGGCTTCGGACGAGGGCACAGTAGCGAGTCTTGGGGCAGACGGAGTATTCGCTTCCTCAGGGATGGTCTCGTAGACAGATGAACGTGACATGCGGGCCTCTGAAATGCGACGGCGATGCCCACGGCCTCGAGCGCGGGTCCTGGCTCGGGTGGCGGTGACACCTCCCAAGGGATGAGTGACGTTGGCGAGCACGATGCTCAGGTGCGACATATCGATACTTGACATAGAGCCACCCTCAGAAGATCCGTCAGAAGACGAGAGAGGCGGGGTGTCAGCTCCAGAGCTCGCATAGGTATTCGACCTTGAGCGATTACCGGGCTTCGGGCGCTTGAAGGACGCTTCCCCGTAGACTAGCGAATACGTTAGAAAGGCGAGAGTACAATAATGCCTGTGCTTACACGACGACGAAGAATCTTCGCCTTCAGCACTCAGGCAACTGCTCTCGAGACTCTGGCGCTCTAGAAGGCCGTGGGTAGCCCTAACCATCCGCTGATCCCCGAATTGGTACGACGATGTTGAGGCAATGGACGGCTGTTGTACAAGAGCCTTCTCCTTGGCCGCGCTTGGCTTGGGGTATGGTTCGTAGGCAGATTGTTCGGACTGAGCTTGGCGCCGTCTGGGCGCAAGTATGTTTACTCGCTTTTCGACTTGAACGCACGGCGAACCCTCGTAGACGGAGCCGATCGATTGTCGTCGAACATGTCCCCCTCCGAGCATCTATCATATCGTCAGTGAAGTCAATAAAGTCAGGTATGCCATCACATACTGTGACCATGGTATCGTCATCCTCGGGCGGGCTCCTCGAGCTGCCGTAACTCAACACCGAGACGGGTCGCCACGCAGGTAGAAGGTGGGGCACCTCTGCGTTGTTCGCGTGGAAGAGCGATTCGCCGGATGTTGACGAGCGCTTGCTAGCCTTGTCAAATATTGAGTCCTCGGCGGTCTTCCGGTCGGACGTGGAAGCTCGTAAATCCGTCTTATCGAAGATGGAATCTTCCGAAGTCGTCTTGCGCTCGTCGTCCATAATGGAATCATAGGAGCTGATGTACGCGGCAGAGTCAGCTGTGAAGTCTCTGACGCTCCCGGTCGGGGATGCGCTAATAGAATGGAGCGGCTGGCCATAGTCCATGGGCGCAGACTCGAGCATCTTGTCACCCAGACCTGGGCGACCCAACCTTGCTGCAGAGAAGTGACTGCGGATTGAGTCCACAGAAGCTTCTTGCCGATGGTGACGGGCCCATGCTGCCCTTCCTCCGTTTGCGCCGTGAATAGCATAGGAGAGCGCAACTGAGCTAGAGCTGCCGGAGTTATCGCGACGGTGTCCGAAGCTGCGGTTGAACATGCTGATAGGCGGAGCCGCCACGGAGCCAACGGAATAGGCTGAGTCATCACGACGATGCCCGCGGGCAACGATGGACATCCTGTGAGAGGCTTGGCTAGACGCTCGAAAATAGAAACTGGAGGCGTCACTGTCCACGCGCTTCCGCTCAGGATCCTGCTTCAAGAAGGAGAAAGTGTCATCCAGTGTGGACATTGAGATTGACATATCCATAGAAGGCGGCCGGCTGGGCATGCCAGGCATGGTGAAGCCGAAGGGATCTTTGACGCCGGGGTTGATGACCTTCCCGTACGAAGAGATAGATGCAATGCTGAACAGTGACGTCTCGCGTCCGTGAGTCCGTTTGGTTGCACGTGCGCCTTGAGGGGCGTAGAATGCTGGGCGATTAGGACCGAACTCGAAGCCGCGACGAACTTCCTCGAAGGAGTCCAGGCCGGCGAAGCTGATTTCGGAGGTGCCGCGCTTGTGACCTGCTGCCGCGCCAGTGAGCGAAGCCATCGCCATATCGCGTGCGCGACGCTTGGAGCTAGTGGTGGAGTCAACTCTAAGTCTTGAATCGGCAGCATCAACCTCCGCGGCCTTGGCGAAGATGGACTTCAACACCTCACTGTCCTCCTCGATGACAGACGTCGACAATGCGCGCACATGGGAGGGAGGAGGGATGATGTCGGACAATGTCAGAGGGCGATCTGGTCGCGATGGCTTCTCGGGGATTGACGAAGGCGACGACCCAGACGACATTCCACCAAATTTGAAATTGACGTCAAGCTGGCCATCGGAAGGCCGGGAACGCAGTGAAGACTGTGAACGAGTCATTTCCATGCTTGGAAGAGGGTTCGGTAGCTCGGCCTCGACAACCAATCCCTCCAGTTCGCTGAACACCGCCGACTGATCCACGGACGAATCCTCAGAGCTGGTACTGTCAACATGGACTGCCGAATGAACACCCGCGCTGGAGTCCGAAGACTCGGTCTCGGGGTACGCCTCCGCCTGAGTGACGAAATCGGGGAGCTTGGGTACAGGCGGAACATCAGTGACCGCGAGGAAGTCGCCGAAGTGGGTGAGGTCGACTTTGGATGGCGTGCGGAAAGCGCTCTCGAGCTGTTCGACAAAGCTACGGCGATCAGATGCGCCAGATTCGTTGAGTTTCTTCAGTTCGCCAGTGAAATCGAAGGATTTCTTGGTGTCGTCCTCGGACGTAGATGCAGGGGAAGACGGACAGCTGCCATTCGGTCCGGTGACCAAGGCCTCGAATATCGGCACCTGAAGCGTCGGAGGACTCTCGCCGCCCGCCTCTGGAATCGGAAGCGGGAGTTGCGGGGGAAGGCCAGGCGATGGGAGCCTTTGCGGCGCATTCTGTAGTTGGCGAGTGAGCGTCTCTCCGAACGACGTCATCTCCTCGTCAGACTGCCCAGACAGAATGACTTGCAATTCGTCGGGGATGTCCGAGTCCGGATCCTCAGGGTCAACCTCCTTGGTAGTCATACCAGATGCGACTGAGCCACCCATGGTACCGCCGAGCCCGAGCCCACGTTTGGCCTCCGGAGCAAGAGGCATGCCGTTGGTATCCTTCGGGCTTTGCTGCTCGGGTGGAATTTCGGTTGAACGTGGGCGCCCATGAGCTGCCTTGCGGAATACTGGGGTAGGTGATGGTTCCGCCGCATCGTCACCGAGATCAAGCCGATTGCCGACCTTTGAGTTGGCTTTCCCGAAAGTCAAGCTCGAGGGAGTGTGCCGATGGCCGGTTGTTGGCGGAGTCGCATGCACACGGGGCGGTGAACTGTCCGCGGGGACCTCTAGGCTAGGCTTCCTCGAAGTCAAGGTAATGGGCGGGCTCAAGGCCTTGAAGACCGGAGGAGGTTCAATGGCGGGACCCGGGGGGCTGAGCGTGCGCCTGTGAGTGGGCCTCCATCCTGGTGGCGTCTCCGTGATAGGTCTCGGCCTCGCATTTGAATGAATGGAAGATGCGACCGGCTTGAGCTTGGGAGGGGACACGGGCCATGGCGCGATCTGCATGCCGAGCTGATGACCTATGAGTAGACATGTGTTCGGTTAGTACATACGAGCAAACGAGTGATTCATCCTCACCGTTCGACGCGCTGATGGTAGCGGTAGGTCCAATAGGCTTCGAGGACGCCTTGCTCCTGCTCTGGGCATACGGCCGCAGACTGGTGATTGAGGCCAGGCTGGTCTTCGTCGTCGGCCGCTTGACGGGGCTGTCCTGTTCGCCCTTCCACTTGTTCTTGAGGGCGACGGCGGCAGTAGGACTCTCCGGCGCCTCGCGGGATGCTCCAGTGCCAGGTGATGCGCGGTACGGGGATAAGTCGGGCGTGCCAGGGGTTGCCTCCAAGTTATCGACGAGCAACGCAAGGTCGTCTGTCGCCTGATCAAGGATCGATTTGACGCCTGTTCGTCGTATTAGTACGCACGCTCGCTAGTATTGTGCTATTACTTACCTTCGACGTCGTCGTGTATGCCAACAGGTCGGGGTTTACCCAGCATATGCTCGCTCACTGGCCTCGCCCTCCTCTGCTTCTGCGGCGTCTCCAGCTTCACGACCCTCCCCCCCTCCTCGTCCTCCTCCGCCGACAGCACTCCGCTATGGCTATCCGATGTGGCGCTCTCCACCATAACCATCGGGTACCTCCGTTCGTCATCGTCGTCCGCATCGCTGTCCTCCGCCTGCTCCTCCCCGATGCTCGACGGGGCGCGCACCCCAGGGAACACGTCTGCAAGGCTCGTGCGTTTCCTCCCCTCGCCGCTTGCGCGCTTGCTCCCAGCCGCCCGGGCGCCCTTCGGCCTCGTCTTCTTCTCTCGCTCGCGGCCCTCACGCACTGTCTCCAGCCTCTCTTCGTCCCAGCGGACGCTGCTCGCGGATGACACGCAGGACGATGGACGTCCACTGTTGCCTGAGACGCCTGAGACGGCGGACACCGGGCGGCTGCTATGGCCTGAACCCGAGCTGTAGGAGGACGTCGACATGGGACGGAGCGATTCCGCGGTGCTTTGGCTCGACACGGTCGAGCGCGACCCGGCCCGTCCACGCGTGGTGAAGAAACCGCTCACGCCCGACGCCTGCGAGTTGCGATTGGCGGCGTGTGGATAGGAGTCGACGGAGAGCCGGTTGCTGTTGGTCTGCTGTTCCGACGGCTTGCGTTCCTGATTGACGAGGCGCACTGTGCCAGCTTCCGCCACGGGCGACGTCGTCATGCGCATGGTACTCGGCCAGCCAAGGCCGATCCCCAGGCCAAGGACGCTCTTTTTCTTCTCGACCTTCGGACCCTCCTCCGGGATGCTCGACACGGTGCCCATCCTGCGCGTAACCTCGGGGCTTCCGCCGCACATGCTCAGTGCGCCGGCCTCGAAGCTGCTCGTTGTCGCCTGCGACGCGTTGCGTGCCGCCTGCGCCTTGCCCTCCTTTCGCTCCTTCTTCTTGCCACCCTTCTTCACCTCGCCCTCGCCGTTCTTGAGCTGCGCCCAGCTGCCGATGTGGGCAAGCGAACGCATGGAGCGCATCGCGCGGATGGCGATCGAGCCCGAGTTGGACGCGTTGGTGGCGCCGGTCGCGCCGGTCGACTCCGAGCGGGCCATTCCAGGTGGAGCGAGGAATGTGCTCGCGGGCGGCGGCGTAGGGCTGGAGTCTGCACGCGACATTGGCGGGGCGAGGAACGACCTAGGGGTCGTGCCTGCCATCATCACGGTCGCTGGCGTCGAGCCTCGGGTTGGCTGCACAACGGTCGGGGCCGGCCGAGGCGGCAAGCCGAACAGCTGCTCCATCGAGGGCTCTTGGGCAGCTGGCGAGTTGAGTACGACGCCGGAATCCAGTGACGCAAACCGTGGTCGTCCGAGTGATGCAAGCGCGTCAGGCGCTGCGACGGCATGAGAAAACGATGTCTAAGGCAAACGGGAGGAATCGCTTACTCTTCGAGCGTTTCGCTTTCTTCTCTTTGGTTTTCTCCTTCTCATTCTCACTCCCCTTCTCCTTCGAATCCTTCCTTCCTCTCCCGATACTCCACCACTTCTGGCTCCCCGAATCACCCGGCTTCAGCTTCTCCGTCGCCGTCGCCGGTTTGTTTTCCTTCTCCTTCTCCTTCCCCTTCTCCTTCGACGCCTTCGGCACGTTCGTCACCTCTCCCAACGCGCCGTCGTTACCCCACATCATCCCGTTCAGCGCCCTGCGGCTCTTTTGGCGCTTGATCATCACGATCTCGCCCATGTCGGGGTCGTCCGTCGGGTCGACGTAGATCTCGAACCCGCCGCGTGCGCTCGCCGATCCCTGAACGTCCGCACCGACGCGCCGAACGACGTCGGAGAGGTCCCGGCTCTTGTCTTTCTTCGCGCCGACGTTGGCGAGGAGCGACAGCTTGGACTTCTTCGGCACGAGGCGCCGCTTCGGCGCGTCCTCTGCGCGCGGCGCGAGAGGAAGAGGCGGGACAGGCGGCGCGTTCGCGAACGGGGCGACGAGGGAGGAATCGGAGACGGCGGACGTATTGGGCGTCGCCGTTGTGAGGCAGATCGTGGGGATGCTGAATGGCTGGGCTTGCTGTGTTGAGGGGTCCTGAGCCGGAGGAAGGGGGGAGGGCGAGCGCGCCCGCGGGTCGCGTGAAAGTCGAGCACGAATCATCTTGATGGATCTTCTATGAATTTGAACTTGATGCAAAAAAGCGTCGGAGTTGTCGTTAATAAAACAGAACGAAATCTTGAACGTGAACGTGAACTATCGTAACAGGTCGGATGTTGTTGTTGTTGGATGGCTTGAGGGGTCGTCGGAATGAGGTCTTGATCTTCGTAGATCGTTACTTGTATTGTTTGGCCGGAATGCGTTGAATCTTGGCGTCTTCGTGTTATTCGTGCCTTCGTCGGTCTTCTGGTGAACGGTAACACGTCCCATCAGCACACTACGCGAAGAAAAAGTCCGCGATGAAACCAAAACCTACTAAACCACCGCACGTGGAGCAACTTCGCCTCAGCGGGCCCACCCTCCTCTGCTCGAACGGCGCTCTTGCTGAGAGATGCGCTAGCCGGACTCGGGGTCTGCTGGTTGTCGGGGACGAGGACAAGGTCGACGAACGCAGGGCTTACATAAGTTGGTTCGTTGAGCCTCGAGGCCAAGCATGAGGAACACACGCCCCCACATTCCGCCCAAAAAGGCAATCATCCCCGGAAGCCCATGATGGACGCGTCGAGGCACGTGAGCGCGTCGTCGACAGCGTGTGACCCCTGATAAGATGCGAGCGAAAAAGGGGCAGGGACAACGCGAGAAGATCGGGATCGTTATCTAGCTGCCTAGTCATCAACATGAGTAGCAAGCAAATCGCAAGCGATCATAACAGCATACGGATGATAGCAACTTGCGAGCACGCGGACAAGCCATGGCGCCCAGCTCGCGTCAGAGCATTCAAGTGGTACGCAATACCGTATCCGCGCGGGTGAGACCAAGGGCATGTCAGAGACATCAACAGCAGCGCGTCATAGATCTAGCCAGATGCGCGTATAGGGGGACAGCAGCGCCCGTTGATGACGAGGTGTTCACTGGTGGAAACGGCGGAAGCACCTTTGCAACATCCCATAGCTGTCCGCTTGTCTCAAACCGAGTGTGGGCGCATATATGCATGTCGATCGCGCGGGGGTCTCCATACCAATGTCGACCATGATTCATCGGAAAGGGTTCGGATATTGTTGCCACCGCCTTCGCCGGACTATGTTCTCGTATATGGAAGGATCGACCGGTAATGAACGCAGCAGATCGTCGCCTGAGACCGCGGTCTTTGACGATTCCGTAGGTCTCGCTGTTTTCTTTCTCGATGTTGGCGCAATCGAAATGTAGATGTTCGAGCGTGACCTTGTGGAGCGAGTAAGGGTCCCTGCTGAAGGTTCCAGGTCAAGAACGAGTTGGCCCAGGTTGAAGCGTTTTGTGTCACTGTCAGGCTGAAACCTTCATAGTTCCCACGCCACGAAGTGTTCAGTAGCGCGTGCCACATCTCTTTTTGCCTCTTCTCTATCGGTAAGTACAACGGATATTCGCAACACGAGCAACAGATTGATTACATCTGTTAGCATACACACTACGTGAGCGACTGCATTACATACAGACATACAACACTTCAAAATTTGATACAAGTCCGAAAGTCTGGGAGCACTAGGGACGCTTCCCTCGCTTCCCACAAAAAGCAAACGGTTACATAACGAACATCAGAGTCGTATCCTGAACAGCTATGAGCTTCATGGAAGCGCAAACATGCAATGCTACTCACAATCTTGTGCGAGCTCGACAGTTGCGGCTTTTGGCTGTACTTCTTCTTCAGGATATCCCTACAACATTTCTCTGTTAGCAGGCAGCACGCCTCTCATCGCCACCAGTGACTCCAACTCACCTCACAGACTTGAGCAAACCGGCGTACGACTGCCTCGGGTTACGCGACAGCGAAGCCATGAACGCCTGTTTCAGCTCATCAGTACATTTCGCTTAAGCCAAGCCGGTGGGGATCACAGGGTGCTCACGTCGCTCATGGCTCCCACTGCCAGCCTTCCATCCGTCGACGCCACGTCCGCGCTCGTCTGCGAGTCTTTGCACCCGCTCCACGATATCTATTCAAAATTCAGCACCCACCCAATTGTTGGGGACGAAAGACGCACCACATCCGCCGCAGTATGCTTACGCTGCCGAGCGCGATCCGTTACGCCCATCGACTTGATACGACCGTCGCTGTGATACGAGTACGGAAGGTCTAGGAACCCCAGTGAGTCAGTGATTCATTGAGAACCGATGCATGTACGAACCCAATGCCGATCCGGAGTGGCAGGACTTATGAGATCAGAGTCAGCTAGGAGTACCGCCTTAAAGCATGTTACGTACATCAAACAGCGCCTGCGTATCCAGTACCAATATCAGCGACGTGAGCAACACCACCAGGCAGAGCTCTCACCGTCAATCGACATCCACGAGGCAGAGACCTGACCATGATCGCATGCATTTCCTGAGACATATGAGCGTAGTCCGTCGTTATGTATGACACAAATCACTCGCAACTCACATCGTCAATTATTGGGCCGGCCGTTCGGTAATCGAGAGGGTAAATCACTGCAGAACTGCGTTAGCTTGACAACGCCATTGATCATACACATTTGCCTACCCTCATCCTTGCCGTCCGGCTCGTCTCCATCGCGGTCCTTCACCTGGCCGCCATGTCCTGAGTCTAATACGAAGGACGTCAACATATCTAGACATACGACGATCCCGCAAAAAGGCGCTCACAATGGAAGAACAGCGAGTCGTTCGGGCGCGCACCCGACACAAGCCACTTCATCGCATCCACCATGTTCGCCTTCGTCGGCCTCGCGCGGGGATCGGACCGATCGTCTGTCAATATGACAATATCCTCTACTTCCACTGTGAATATACCCCATCTCTGTTCCCGCCAAAAATTACTCGTACCTTGCTTGAACCCATAATTCCCTACAGACGGCCATCAACAAGCAGAATCCGTTGACAACATTCCGACCACCTACTATGTAAGAACCGCATTACGTTCTTCGCGTCGTTCACGCATCCTCTCAACTCCTGCCTCGTACCCGTATAATTGATTCCGATCTATTGCACCACGCCGATGTCAGCTCCTTCAGCCCAGCTCGACGAGTTGGATTTATCAGGACTCACGCAGAGTGCCTTCTTCCGACCGGTACACTTGCTATACGCGAAATCGCTGAGGTTGACAGGCTGACTCGCCGGCGCGTGCGTCACCTTGACCGGCTTCGACGGCTTCGAGCTCGCGTGTTCATGACGGTGCTCCGTCCGATGCGGTACAGCAGGCGCGGACGCCACGACCTGGTATACCTGCGGGCGCTGGGCCGCTGCGAGATGGTTATGGCTATGGCTGTGCCTTACATGCTGGTGACTCGTCGACGTCTGCATTTGCACGTGCGTCGAGCTGCTGTGTCGCCGCCCGCCCGCGCGCTGCTGCTGTTCGCGGAAGCCGGCAGGCGGAACGCTCAGAGAGGCGTTGTTCATGGGGGGCGCGGAGACGGGCGGGCCGAGTGGTGAGTAGGCGCTCGGGCTGGGGACGAAGGTGTTGGCGGCGTGGAAGGCCGGGCCCGGGGAGGGCATCTGCATCCTGAGCCGCCGGAGGAGAGCACGCCAGATGCGGTGGTTACGCGGGTGGAAGTGCGAGCCGTCGGCGTTAAAGTGGCGCAGGATGCGGGAGGCAATGCGGCGTATGTGCGAAGGAGAGGTGGTGGATCGAGAGGACGAACATTGGTAATGGTAGGGTTTGGGTTTGTGGAGGCGATTGCGAGGACGGGGTGGAGGTTTGGTGAGACGTGCATGGGGGGTGTTGGCATCGTAGATGACAGATGGAGTGTAGGCGAATGTCGGGACGTATGGCGGGCCATTCAGGTGATTGTAGTACGGATACGAATTGTTGTATGGATAGCGATATGAATGGTTCGTCAGCAACGCTTGCGGAGGCATCTTCGAGATAAAGAAACAGGATGAAGCGGCAAAGCAGGGTGAAGTACAAAAGCGAGTCAGTAGCGCTGTGACCTGCTCTATCTATGGCTGGGAGTGGAACGCGGAATAAGCGCACGTACGGAGGCGGGCGAAGGCGGTTGTCCCTCCCATCGGGGTAGGGGTTGGCTTGGTAGTACCCATTTGGATTCGGCACGGGGTGGTAGCCCTGAGGTTCAGTAGAGAAACCGCCTACACCGTCCCACATTGTCTTGCTTTGGTTGATTGAGGTGGAAGAGAGATGATGGGCCGGAGGAGAGGCGAAAGATCCCGGATTAGGCAAGCTTGGGCGCTAAAGCCGCTTGGTACGCAGAGACAGTCTGATCTTCAGGCGCGAGTGACTCGGAGGGAGGAAGAGATGACAGGATTGTGGATCCTTATGTACTCAGCAGTGTCCTTGAGGCGTAGCAAGCTATCCTGGCAAGGCGGTGGCTCGGAGCTATGTAGTGAATCACCAGGGTGAAATGAAACTGTCCCCGCGCTAGCTTCAGGGCTTCGATGATGATGAGTAGCCTTTGAGGCTGATACCAGCAATGAGACAGCAGCGACGGCCTGCAGAGGAGGAGGAATCACTTGTACAGGGATTCAGTGAGGTCGCGGTGTAACGCGTTATGTCTCGGACGACTGAACTCAAAGAAGCTGAGGCAATGAGCGTGGGAGCACTTGCGATCGGTATTTAGCCACGTGCGATCGCACAGGTCCGACTGGGCCGGCGTCCGGGCTCGTTATGATTCTATCGAGCCAGCGCCTTTCTGGCCTCATGGCACGAAGGACTGTCATATGCGATTCGGCAACGCTGTACACAGCTTAATATGATCACCGGAGCTGAATATCGAAACTCTGTAGAAGACTGCAGTTGTCCGATTCTTCATATTTTTTACAGAAGAAATCTTCTCTTGAACCTCCAGGGGGACTCTGAGTCATGACGGGATTGCGATGACGGGAAATACAGCCGCATGTGACCATTGAATCAGTGTAGCGCCACCATTGGGCCGCCGATAGAGACCCTCCCCGACGAACGTTCCTCTGCCTCATGTACAAAACCCCATAAAGCCACGTATATCTAGTAAAAGAAATAAAGACTGACACGTAGGGCCTCAGTAGTATAAAAGTAGAGTACTCGAACATTGTACTCTAGCTTTCTCCTGCGCACTCAACGAGACTTACCCCGGTCTATTGTATGAACTTTGAGGAACTCTAAACCGTGTGGCTACACTTCGCTTACAAAGCTTACCCGTCGCCACAATCAGGCACGTGATACTCCCATACTTTTCTTCCGCCGTTGCCTGGAGCCTACTGTACATCGCCAATAAGTTCGGCCTATAACTACACAGGTGCCATCATGGCTAGAGCTCGGGTTGACTCCGGCTCTGGATCCGACTCGGATGCCCCAGAGGCTTTCTCTACTTCGCAAACCAAAAAGCTCGCCAAGGGCCAAGAACGCGCGCTCGCCGAGTTCCACACGTCGCAAAAACGGAAGCGCAAGGAGGAGAATCAGGCCAGGGACAAGCGACTGAAGGAGCGCGCAGCAGCAGCTGCAGCTGCTAAGACGGAAGAACTTCGTATCGGAGCTGAGAAAGGAAAGCGGCCGGCGGAGAAGAGGAGAAAGGTGGAGGTAGAGGGCGGTGACGACGACGACGACGACGAGGGTGGAGATGATGGCCTTGAGGCGCGAATGCGGAGGGCGATGCAGGATGCGGAAGATGAGGATGAAGATGAGGACGAAGACGACGATGAGATGATGGATGGGGATGAGGATGAACAGGAAGAGGATGACTCTCGGAATGAGGTTGAAGAAGACGAGGATGACGAAATTGGCCGGGAGAATAACAGGTCCAGCCTATCTTCTGACGAAGAAGAGGACGATGAGGACGTTCATCACTTCAAAGAGGAAGATTTCAACGACACTGAGGATGAAGACCTCGCCGAAAACGAGGAAGACGGCCAAACCCAGTCATTCACCTCATGCTCTCGATCCTCGATATCCACCTCCGGCCTTCCTCGCTATCTTCCGGATGACCTCTTCACCACTACATCTACCAAACGCACGCTCATCGCGCCCTCTTCACGCCCATCGGCTCCATCCAAGGCTGACTCCAAGCGGAAACGCAAACGCCCCTCCGTCTCCCGCAAACCTAAAGACTCCGTGCTCGGCTCCCGCACGGTCCGCAAACTCCCACCGCTGCAATCACGCCCTGCTGTGACACCGCGCGGCGCGCTACCGAGCGCCAAAGCGCGCAAGTTCGTCGACCGCGCGCTCAACCTCGATGTTAAGCCAGCGACAAAGGCGTCGAAGAAGAGTACGAGTGCCACGCAGTCGAAAGCCTGGGACAGAAAGCCTGGTACGTCCGGGTATATGCGCATATACTCGGCCGCCGCTGACAATGCTTGTACGTTCATAGCGCACCTAGGTGTATTGAAGCCAGCCGTAGCTGGACCGCCACGACAGTTCGTTCGCGCATGAGGCCTTGCGGACGGGCCTCATTACTTACTGTGCGGCTCCTGACTGGTGGCCTCCCGCGCCAGCCACCACTTTGGTCCTTCATTGAATGTACTTAAGTTACTTCCCGTGCTACTGGGGCAATCATTGAGCGGCGCACGATACGCGACATGCAACCATGGCGCCGAACCTGGCGCTCAGGGGACCTTGAACGCTATCACGAACATCTCGGACTATTGACGTTGATCCTGAATGCTTCCTTCGACGTTCGCTTCGAAACCGTGTCTTTCCCTCTGTGGCCCGCTTATCCTCTATCACAATGCGCGTCCAGCAAGAAACTTGTAGCATTGGCCCCGTCGTGGTTCTGGTCGCCCAATCATAGATGGCCCTTGTCGAACCCGCGTTAGCCACCAATTGAAGAACTCTTCGGTGGCCTAGTTACAACGATCGATCCTACGTCCACCCGGGCCACCATTCACTGGCTGCGGTACTTATACCGCGCCTCGAGGAAGGCACTTCACCCCAAAAAAGCATCGATCCGATACTCATTCTTAATCCCAAAAGTAAGGCATCTCCCAGATTTCCGAACATGAACTCGTCTCCACCTCCTCATCAAGGACCCGCAGTGAGTATCTCCGCTTCCTGATCGCCACCTGCGACGAACATTAATGTCAAGCTCAGAGTAGGGCCCCATCGCACCAGACCAACGCTCGCCAGGCGGCGCCGGCGCAGAGTGGCTTCGCCCCCATACCGCCCGAGCTCGCCATGGGATCGCCTTCTGCGATCGCTCATCCCCAGCATACGCCGGTGCAGGCAGGCCCTCCCCAAGTTCCGCAGACGCAGATGACCCACAGAACGTGTCCGATTCAGGCCATAGACACATCCGGCGTTGCTGCGCAAGCCACGTGCAATTATACCCATTATTCTTCCTCTTCGGCGTCTCCACGGTACAGCGTCCTCCCTCCTCTCCAAGTCCCGCCCGAGAATGCGTATCACACAGCCATGGTGCAGCAATCGCCTTCTGCCCATATGCAAGCTCAACCGCCCGTTCAATATGCGCAATATGGTCCGCACCCAAGGGCGAACGTGCCTCCGACTGGATATCAATTACCCATGCAGCGCCAGTGGCACCCCTCCATACGGAATGACTCTGGGCAAGCCGATAACCACCATGGCCCGTTCTTCTCCCCAGAAGGGATGATACAGCAACACCAACGGCCCTCCCACCCGGGTTACTCTAGGCAGGCCGTTGTCAACCATGGTCCGTACTTCTTCCCCGCCGGGATGCCCCTGCCACCACGTGTCCAAGGGCGTCCTTTCCCTATAGGACCGCGGATCCTGCTTCCTTTCCTCGGCGCGCCGATATGCGCACCCATGAACACCACCCCGTTTCCCGAGCTGCCAACAGGCAATGTTGAAGATGTCAACGCGATTTCAGATGCGCCTGTCCAGACTGGTCGACGCCCGCGGGCGTCCTCACCACGCGCGCAACGCCCCGCGACTGGCGTTTACTCGCCGCCTGCAACCTCCCTAGACCCAGACGTCCTCCAGTTGTCCGGACAAGATGGTGCCCAGTCTCCTTTGAAACGGCCCAGGAAGAACACCTTTCCGTCCACCCCTGGTCCTTCCAAGCGGGCTCGTACCCAAAGCGCAACGACATCTACCCAAGCCGAGCTGGACGCGTACACCTCGGACGCGCGAATGGCGAGCCCCGACTTGAGCCCTACGCGCGCGACGCCGTCCACTCCCCTCCGCTCCCCGACGGCCCCTTTATCTGAAGACGACGAGGGCAAAGCAGCAGGGCTTCCCTTACTTCCGAACGCCTTGATGCGTGCCGGGAAGACGCCTATTACGCCTCAACGCAAGCAGCGTAAACGACAATACCCTCCCGTTCTCGATCCGTCGCCTACGAGTCCCGCCCCGACCTCTACCCCGCCGTCCAGCAAGGAACCGAAGAAGAATGAGACCATCGCCGAATGCTCGATGATACCATCCAAGACGGAGCAGCTAGCCCACCGATCGCTTGCTACGCCGCTGAAGGAGCCGCCCCTGAAAACGCATAGGGTCATCCCTGTCCGAAACCGGTGGCAGGAAATGCGGAACCATCGTGGTATAGGCATCACCTTGTCGGACGCGCGTGCGGAGGATGACGATGTTATTCCGCAATTACCGGAGCTCGTCGATGCGGACAGTCGACCATTTGCCAATATCGCTACGACACAAAAATCGATTGAAGTTCACATATGCCTGGATGTTAAAAAAGTACGTCGATACTCCATTGAACGACTTCCAAGTTACCATGAGCTGATCGTTTGTTCTCCCATGCGCGCAGAACTTCACACGCTGGACTACCCGTTCATGGAGGCTGTCTGTGCGCGATACCAAGGGCGATGGAGAATCGATTAGTCTCCGGGAACTCGTTGTGCGCATCGCCGGACTTGCTGCGAACTTTCTAGATGTGCGTGCACGTTCCGGCATGCTGTCTCTTCTCTGGTGACTGACGCCTACGCTCTTATAGACGGTCCAGACAGAAAACCCGGATGGACGTTTCAAGTACATGACGCTCGAACGCATGCGCCTGGTCAGCCTCTGGACGACGGATGTGAACGAGGTGTCTTGGAACGTGAACATCGAGGTCCTACACCGACATGGTCTGGGGAATAAGCGGGGGAGTGCCCCCATAGGCCCGTGCATCGACTTCTTCTGTCTCTCAGATGCCGAAGACGCGTGGTCAGGCTCGATGTGGGACGAGCGGGCCAGTCTCGACCCTACTGGCTCGACTTATGAGATGCCGCGCCAGGTTGATATGCTGCCCGCCGACGCCCCCAGACCGACAGCACCGGCTACGCCGACGCTGCCGAAGCGATTATTGCCGACGCCGACTTTGCAACTCATTGCATAATGCCACGCGCGGACGGTGCTTGAGATCTTTTCCGATCCCTGCGTAAGCACTTAAACCTACCCCGTCCTTACCTTGCACATAGATACAGGTGTCGCGTATGACACATTACTCGCTCCTTACTCGTGTTTTCATCCTCATATTACGGACTTCACACTCCTTAACCCCGGCGCGCAGGCTCGCGTGTGCATAAATGTAACATTGTCATCTGGTCTGACGTGCATGTTCCAGCTGTATCCCTGTTCGTATCATAAGATGTACAGTGTACAATCAATTTAAAGCTATGATATCAGCTCTCTACATACCGTGGGCACCAGCCGCTTTGAAGTTTCCATAGTGTTGAGAGATATATGCTTGCATAAAACGATCTTTTCTCTCTCAGCGATGCGACCAAGCGTCTAGCCGAATACACATATATATATTATATATATTATACATTTCAGCTTCTGCACATCACGTATGCGGTCAACCGTAGTAATTGAAGGGGAGTCCGAGGAACTTGCATTGAGCCTCGTCCTGGAAACTGGCCGTCCGAGGTGGCATGTCCATGATCCGGAGCGCCCTATCGTTCCCTTTCGTAAGAGGTTTCCATTCTCCCGCTTTCTCCACGAGCGCGAGCGTGCTCGTGTACCCGCGAGCTTTCAGGTACGCCGTCGACGGATTAGGATCGTGCTCGCGCGCGAAGGCGGACCACGTGTCTGCCGCTAGCTGGGAGAATGGAAGGTCGTTATCGTCGCGGAAGGGCAGCTGGAATTGGCCCAACGTGCCCCAGACAAAGTACAGCTCGCCGGAGTGACACCTGCACGGCAAACCTTTGTTAGAGGCGAGCAAAGGAGACGGGAAAAAAAGAGGAGCACTGACTTGAAGTACTCTTTCGACGGATCGCCATGAGGGTGCGCGGCATCGATGGGCGCATCGCACACGGGCGCGTTCGGGTCAAACCCGGGCGTTTGGTACGACCGATCGAACTGGTAGAACCAAATTTTCGGGAAGACGTCGTGGTTGAGGGCGGAGATGGCGGCAGCCTGGTCAAGGCAGCGGAACTCGACGTCGGTCGTGATTCGCGCGGTGACATTGAACACGTCCAGCGTCGCGTTCGTGCCAGAAGGGACAGGGAAGAGCCCGGAGGCTTCAACCTCGGACGGGGAGGGGCTCGACCTGGCAAAATTAAGTTGTAAGGCGGACCTCCAAGTTGGATGGACGTACAGAACGCTGGCAATGTTAGAGGTGATGTTGGTATTTTGCGGGTATCCGATGAAGGCAGCGCCGTCGTCACGCATGAATCCCATCACAACGGGCACATGTGCGGCAGGACTGGAACCGTCAACAGGGAGCTGCTTGGACGTGACATATTTGCCATCAATCACGACGAATCTGGTGGACCATGGTCTAGATTGGAAGCATGTGCATGGAGGTGGAAAAGACGCACCGAGCGACAGTGGGAAGGTTGACCAACGTGTTCGCGTCGACCTTGCGAAGGCACATTAGGACAGCAGCGGAGTCGGTTTCGTTGCACCCGGTCGCGGCCAATATCGGGTCTACCGCCACAGGCTGCAACTGCGGAATGGTGTAGTAGAGCGAGTACGTCGTCGCATAGTTCTCCCCCACCAGATTGCTCATTGGAATCGCCGCCGCGAACTTCCCGATCGCCTCCGGACTCGCGAGCAGGGCCCTCGTCGCCGCCGCGCCCGCCGATTGTCCCAGTATCGTGACCCTCGCCGGATCGCCGCCGAACGCGGATATGTACCTTTGCACCCAAGCGAGGGCGACGGTCATGTCGCCGATCCCGAAGTTGCCGTTGGTGGTGCCGTCGGGGAGGGCGAGGAAGCCGAGGGTGGAGAGGCGGTAGTTGATGTCGACCACGACGACGTCGCCCCGGGAGGCAAGCGCGCCGCCGTCGAAGGTCGCATCGTTCCCGGTCCCACCAGTGAACGCGCCGCCGTGAATGTGGAACATGACGGGTTTCAGCGTGGATAACGGTGTTCCGGCCTTGGGGATGAAGGGCGTGAAAATGTTGAGGAAGAGGCAGTCCTCGCTCCCGGAGGTGCTACCGGCTTGGACGCATTGGGACCCGTAGTCGGTCGCGTTAAGGTCTTTTCGTGACCCTGAGTATAGCGTAGAGTAAGTGAACCGCTCCGGAGTGTTCGCGTATGGGAGGCCGAGGAAGCGGAAGGAGAGGTGGTCGCGGTACCTGGCAATCAGTCAGGCTCCAGGTGCGCAAGCACGAATATATGCGCATATACCCTGTCACCGTTAAGTCTTCCGCGCTCACAGTGACTCGCCATTTGGGATCTTTGTCCTGGATATGCGTCAGTGTGGCATTATCAAGCTAGTCATGCCGCTCACCTGGTCGCTAGCAGGACGGTAAGGCGCGCTCTGGGAACACAACGCGGGAAGCGTCTTCTGGCACGACGTTGTTTGTACTTTGGCCCCCTTCGTAACGGTCCTGCAAGTCTTCGCGGAGGGGGAGGCGATCCAGTATTCTTGTTCCGCGGGGTAATGGTCCTGGAATGCGAGGTACGACAAGAGGGACGTCACGTCTGAGACGAAGTGAGGTCCATTGGCCGAGAGCAAGTTTTCGCTGAGCGCCGCGCATGCCGAAATTGCAGCCTGGTTATTCCGAGGTTCGATGAGGATGGCGCCGGCGTGGTCCGTGGCGCTAGTCCCTGCAACGATACCGTCAGCGAAATCGGCTAGGAAGGCTCAGAGGAACGACTCAACAGTTGAGATCATTCTGGTAAAGAAAGGTGAGCGAGCTTGAGAGCGTTTTCGGAGAGGGCGTCGCGGCCACGACAACGGTCAGAGACAGCAGCCAGGACGCAAGCGATGCAATCATCTCGGGAGTCAGACACACATACGCGACGAGTACAGGCAGGACGTTGACGAAGGCATCTATAAAGAGGGCCTGGAGGGCCGTCGGGGGAGGAGGGCGCATCGACTATACTTCGCGTCGGGTCACGGCGAGGAGATCATGGTCGCCGAAGATTCGCCGGAGTCGTCTCGTGACGACGTTAGGGTGATGAAGGCGGCGAGGCGCACCGAGGTATGGTATGATATGACGGAGGAATGAAGGGACTGGGAGGATATTGCATGCGAAGATTGCGCCGCGTTTGTGACGAGGCAATTCAGTACAGCGGCGGCCTTCTTGGAGGCGTAGTAGACGCATGACGAGAACCGCTACCAGAGCTTCTCAATTTCATCTGGAGCCTGATCTCGGTCAGCGATGCGTGCTACGTTCACCTCTAGAAGCTTGTCGATCTGGATGCACATACATTATATCTTGAGCCTCGTGGAGATGCTGAGGCCGATATAGGTAGGACGACCTCCAGTTCTCCCATCTGACATTCCATCTTCATCGTTCCGGTTGGTTGACGGGCCGTTAAGGCACTACACTTTCCAAAGATGTTTAAGATGTTGCAAGTACTGCGATTATTTATTGCCTCGGTTCAGTTCGTCAGCTTCAACGACCAGGGAGGTGAAGGCCAAGCAAAGAGAAAAGCAAAAAAGAGAGGTCAATGTTTTTCAATGTTGTTCCATGTTCAGTGCTTTCTTGGGCGTTGTTGTTAATCCGTGTTTATAGTCCGAAGCGGCGGACCGTATGGTAGACTTGTACACGGGCTGTAACTACTTCTACTACTAATTCATCCTCCTCCTCAATCTTGCGATCGTAAACTTCTAGCCCTTGGTCGCGGAGCGACCTTAGGCCTGGACGCCTCTGGTAGGCGGTGGGGGTGGTGTAAAGTATATAGCTTATGTAAAGCTATGCTACGACGCGACTAGACCGAAACAGAACAGAACCGAGTGTTATTGAGCTAAAAGACGACATACATGATTGTCTGTACGGTGCTTATATCTTAGCGGTCCGGATTATAGTTAAAGGGGCGCCATATGGTACTGGGCGCCCGCTTTGTCATAAGTGTTGCCCGCGTCCAATAGGACGCGGTGGTAAGTGATTGCATCAAGCCGCTTTGAGCGGCTGACTAATTACTTAAGGGTAAGTCTATTCTACCCTTACATCCTCCCCCCTCCAGGAAAAAAAGGTTATTATTTAGATTAGCTGTCGCAACGTCTATGGACTCACTGCGACTTCAGATGCCTGCCGATGGACACGGTCACCTGCGCTTTCTCACGCCACCGTAGGGCCCTTGTAATCGGCGAGCCATTGTTCCGCGAATGCGCGGAGGGGCCTT